CCATGGGCCATGTCTTACTTATTCCCACAACTGTCAATGGAAGTTCTACTCATGGAATGAATAGAACTAAATAACCCAGCCTCCCCCTCTCCTTCCCACGCATATCTCTTCCTCATATTGCATCTACTTAACAGGCTAATGATATATGAGCAAAATAAATGTATGTAACCCTGAAATTCTGACTTCATGTTGAAAAAACATACTTTCTGTGGCACATTTTGTTACAGCCTTTTTGTTTCGTTTCTTAGCATTTTTGGGTGTTCCTTAGCTTTATGGAAGAAAAATTGGTGTGTGTGCCTTGGTATATATTAGTATATGTTTTTGCCTAAAAGACTCAGGATGAAAAAAACTCCAGGGCAATTTAAGTAGGAGGTAAGATAAGGCAAGGTTTTAATGAAGCCTCTCAGGCTCTGGGAATACAAACCATGTGCACGCTCCCTGACTCAGGTGTTACAATTTTTGTAATGATGTCTATCCAATCCGTGTTTGTCCACCCCCCAGCCTTTGCCCCGTTCTGCCCCTCGGGAATTGAGTCTGAGGGAGTTTTGGAAACCCCTCTTTCTCATCTTCATCTTCTTTGGAGCACGTACAGTCCTTGGAGGCTTTCCAAAGTTCTGGGTTTGAAGGTTGCTTTGCCCTGGTGATATCTTGTTGTCCAGGCCAGGGTGCAGATGTTCTTAAACAGAATGAAGGCCTACCTTGAAAAAGAGACTAAATATGTGACTGGAATTTAGGGGGAATTGATATGGAATGGGGTAATAGGGTTGGGTATGTGTAACTACTGTGCTAAAGGGTGAGGAATATATTAAATACAGCTACTTCTAAAATCTACAAAAATTAAAAAATCAAAAACCTCCAAGGCAACATATATTTATTTAATAGAACTAGGATATTTGAGTTCATGCCTCCCAGTTAAACAGAGTTTATCTCAGTAAGTTTTACTTGAAGACTGATTTTGTGGAACAACTATGTAGCTTTTAAATGCCCACAATCTCTGATCTTCAGGGTGATTGATTTGGAGATGAGACTTTGGGTCTTGCAGTCACTCCATTCCAAATATTTTCTAAGCTAGAGGTTCTAGCCTTGTGTTTCACAGCTATGGTCACTTGTCCACTAATTTACAGAGCGACATTTTTGAACCTATGTAGGAGTTTACATATTGGAGAATGTCACAAAATTATATTGCAATTTACAAATTACATTTTGCTATTTACAATTATAAATTATATTCCAAAATCTTGCAAAAATCCTTGTAATATTTGATAGGAAGTTCAGTGGTTTAACTGTGTGTCTTTGTTTTGATCCTGTCTTCTGCTTTTCTGATTTTATTTCATCTCCATCCTTTTTTTTTTTTTTAAAGATATAGAATCATAAAATGTGTTGGGTTGGGTTGTAAGGAACCTTAAAGATCATCTGCTTCCAACCCTCCTCCCATTTGTGGGGGCACCTTCCATCAGACCAGGTTGCTCAGAGCTCCATCCAGACTGACCTTGGACACGTCTAGGGTGGGGCATCCACATCTCTGAGTAACCTGTTCCACTGCTACAGCACCCTTGCAGTAAAGAATTTCTTCCTGACATCTAATCTAAATCTCTCCTCTTTTAGTTTAAAATGTTCCCTCTTGTTCTAGCACTATCTGACTGTGTAAGAAGATGCTCTCCCTCTTTTTTATAAGCCCCCTTTAAGTACTGAAAGGCTGCAGTGAGGTATCCCCAGGTTAAAGAAATGCTTTCACAATTAGTGAGTAAAAGGTGAACAATTAGATGTATTTCACAGTACTTATATATCTAGACCCATGGAAATATAATGGAAAGACTGTATTTTATAATCAAAGTAAAAATAGATGAATAAAAGTTGACAAAAGCTGGAAGCTGTGAAATTAGTTGAAATTGGATTCTAAGAATTTTTTATAATTAAGCATATTTTGTATGAAGCAATATATAGTCTAATTTATTTTCCTTCCTACATAAAATTTCCATCAAATTGGGGAATTTGATGGAACCATCAATTTTTTCAGATGTGTGGACCCATATAGGAGCCCTGTCCCTGTAATTACAAAAGAATGGCAGTCATTAGTGAAATTGTTCAAAGGCCATTTCTAGCAATGCATATGCCATGAGTAATTTTCCCCAATATAATTCTTATTCTTCAAAAGGTCAGGAAAGTCTAGAAAATAGACAGTTGTGAGATGAATGACTAGCCCTTATTTCCTCTCCTTGAATGTAGTTCCAGTTAGGCTTCTCAAAGAAACTAATTCTTTTTGAGAAGTTGTTAAGCTTGTGTGTTGAGGGAGCTGCAAGATTTTGTACTTGCAACGTAATTCTATATTGCAGTTACTTTCCTACTATTGAAGTTGGAAGCAGAGACACTGAAACTCTCTCTCCCCCTTGGCATGTTGTTCAGTCATCTCTTGTCAGAGAGCAGTGGTCCCATGAAAATAACTGATTAAATAAACCCTTTTTACAAATACTGTTTTCTTAGATCTGTCTTCATGAAGTAAGTTCTGTTACTGTCATTTACAGACTGAATAATCCTCCTACTTTACAGGTGAATGGTTAAAATGATTAGATAAACTTCAGTGTGTCTTGCTGGCCCTAATTTGTACTGCAGTGGCTCATATCTGCAGAGCTCAGGAACTGGTCCCAAATTCAGGCTGTAGCAAACTGATGTAGAGCTCTGCTTCATGCTGCACAGGTGATGTGGAATATCCCTGCTGCATGCCGTGAGGCAGCCTAATGCCCATGGTCCTTTTATTGCTGGAATGTTTTCATCTAATTTAAGAGTTGAAATAGTTAGAAAAATATGTTTTAGGGATTATAAGGTTTATCCCTTATTGTACTAAAAATATATCAAATGTCAAATATTCCTCAAAAATATAAATGTACTGATTTCTGCAGGGATATGTAATAATGGTGTTAGACTGGTATGGATTTCAGTGGACTATAGCATTGTTTTTAATGTAGGGAATAAAGCCAATTTATATCCTTTGGCCTATGCCCAATCTCAGCCTTCATTCAGTTTTGCAAGATAATTTGCCCAAATCCTTTCATCTACACAAGTCTTGCTCCTCCAATTGAAGTTACTGATTTTTGGTCTTTGTCCCACTTTCAGAAAATTTCATAATTCTTGTCCATTCTGCTCTTCTTGCACTCCATGTTAAAGAACTTTCCTAGACTGATAATTCTATGTCTCTGAAAAATAGGAAAGTTTCTGCTGTTCTTTCAGTAAACTGGGGGAGGATGAGGGGTGCATTTTATGGAATTTTTTTTAGATCCAGTTTTAAAACCTTACAAAATAGCCTGCTAGCCAAATGAGCTGCTGAAACTGAGGACAGAGCAGAGGAACAAAACTACACTACGCTCACTGTTCACCAATAATTTATATGACTCTTCTGACATCATACTTCCTACTAGGCATCGTCCTATAATCCCTCAGATAGCATTAGATTTATGTAGGGATTCCTTTGAACTGTACCGTATTCAGGCTTTTCTTAAACATCTATGTTGCTGCTTAATCTCTGTATGTGCCAGAGAAGACCTCAATTTGGCCAGGTTTTGAAAACCTGCAAGAGAAATAGAGAAAGTGAAAAGTGTGAAAGAGACATCAAACTAATATGAGGAGGGAGTGCACAAATAGGGAAAAGAGTTAACAGTTTTGCTAAGGGTAGAAAGAAAAGACAATAGCAGAGGTGTAAACATGAAAATGGATAGGAAAGCGATAACTTTCCTTTCCCAAATATCCATCCACAAATATGTTAGCTGAATTCCCACCAAATTTCTTTCCCAGTAATCCTGTTCACTCAGGAGAAGAGGCCCATGTTTTAACTTGACAAGCGGATTGTTTCATAAAAAAATCACACTCAACAATATTTTGTCCATCATTGCTTTATGTCCAATTCACACAAACTTGAGGAGTTTCAGAACGGCAGCACTGGAGAAATAGATTTATATAATCAAATAGTATCAGCAATTCAGTTGGTACCACTTTCAACAAAACATTTTAGAAGAGTGGCATGCTTTGCATATGTTCAGGTCATCCTAACTCTGGGACTTCTTTCATAATTGTGTGAAAGAAAACTTGACAGCTGACTAAATAAGGGATTAGATTCTTGGAAAGTCTCAGCAGTCTGAGTGATATGGGCAAATAACAGCAAGAAAAAATTTATAGAAGTGTGGATTGGAAGTGTTGAGTCTGTTTTAAGAGAATATTTAGTTACATGTTTCTTCTAAATAAACTGATGACCTTCAAGTCAGTTTTGTTTAAGTGAAGTTTCTTTTTAATATTTTTCTATTTTTCAAGATCTATACCTAAGTTTTTCTAGCTTTTTGAACTGCTTAGAACTGTGAAAGCTGACTTGCAATCCAATCTTGTATAATATCTTTATTGCTATGATTTTGGTACCATGCTTTTAATAGGATTACACATCTCCACACAGAAGGAATTCTCTTTATTAAAGGAATTAATTCTCTTTAATACTTTTATTGCACTACAATAAAATGACAAACATGTATACAGGGTCTTCATTGACATGCATTCACCATAGCATTGCTATGTAATATCATTTACTTTGCATCTAAGTATCAAAACAATTTTTGCACCATTTTGGGTGGACCACTGGTGTTCTTGGTTATAGCAGCAACTCCTCTTTCTACAGATGTTCCTGTAAGTCAATCTTTTAGATTTTATAGCTCATTGTTTACACTTCAATCTACCACAGCTTTGATAACTTTGTCGAAAAATCTTCTTTTGCCTTCAGTTGAATATCTTCCATTTTAATATCTTTTACCTTCTGGAACATGACCAGTGGGAGAGAGAAGAGATCTGCTGTGTGCAGCTTCCCTTTGGCCTCTTCCAGAGAAGACATTTAGTAATGTGCTGAGTCAATTTACAGACAACCTCGGCTCCTCTGAAATCAAGTTTTGTTGGCTGTTCACCTCTCTGTACTCCTCTTTGCTTCGGTCTGACATCTTGTTGGTTACTTTGTATTAATCTTTTTGTAGGAAACTTTTGGACACTGAGGATGAACTCTCTGACATCCAGTCGGATTCGGTCCCGCTGGAAGTGCGGGACTGGTTAGCTTCTACATTCACAAGAGAAATGGGAATAGCGAAGAGGAGATCTGAAGAAAAGCCCAAATTCCGAAGCATTGTGCATGCTGTACAGGCTGGGATTTTTGTAGAAAGGTGAGAGTTTGGTTTTCTTATCGCAGCAAGTGCAGCATTTAACCACAGTGTCTGCCATTGAAGATCCTTTAAGAGATCGTATGAACCTGAACCGAATCTCTGAGCCAGGTATATGCTTGAGTTTCTGCAATCACTTTATATTTGTATATAGAAATCCAGGTGAAACCTCTAAATTTGTAAAATCTCCTGAAGGGTGGAAAATTCTGGGGATGAACTCAAAGGCTTTGCAACTTCTGCAGTAAATTGTACCAAAGACTGCTCTAACATAAAAGAGGGGCTTTTCTCATAAGTTCATAAAAAGATTTATGTAATCTTTGGCATCAGACCATTTAATAGCTTAGTGTTATTTCAAAAGCTCTGAAAAATGAATTAAAAGAAGATAAATTGTTCTGGTACTTTTTATAGGAGTGCTATGTCTTGATATTTTATTTGTTTTCTTTAGGATGTATCGAAGAACTTCAAGCATGGTTGGTTTGGCATACCCATCAGAAGTGATAGTCACATTTAAGGTGAAATAAGTCTAATCATTGTTGAATTTGAATGTATTTGTACTCATGTTTAGTGACTTTTAGGGTGAAATGAAGTTATTTTTCTACTGAGCATACCCTAGCCATAGTTAGTACTACAGAACTTAACACATAGAACAGAGAAATTAGTAGTTAAAAATTCAAAACCAGCATATGATTCTGTTTAATTGTGATTTCATTTAGACATTATTAGAACAATAGGATGAAATTTGTATAGACATTTTTATAGAAATGTGAGGTGTAGTTTTATCAGCTCCCAGTGGTATGGTAATCAGTGTCTCAGACAGGAGTATTTTTTTCCTTTTTAGGAAAGAAAAAGGAGATAGTATTGGGATAGAACTAACAAAAGAATCCAAAGCTTGTGGAAGAAGTACAGTATTTGCTCTGAATTTAAGGTATTGCTTCAGTTCACATAAAAGACAATCTTTTATGGAGAGCTGAGTTCCTATGTCTATGTGAGCAATTAAAAACTGGTATTTCTTGAGAATTGAGTACTTCAGCTTTTCCTCTTAAAGTCAAACACTGTTACATTACTCTCAAATTTCTTTATGGTTAATGACATCAGTGTTAATGATCTATTTAAAGGATGGTATTCACATTGCTCCATAAGGTTCTTTATACGATTTGTACACAGAAAGTTAAATTTGAAAGATTAAGACCTTTGACTCAAAGCATGCAAAGTTGCCTACGTCATGTTACAAGTATTTTATTCATAACTGGCACAACTGTTTTCATCATTAATATTGAAATAGTCAATAATGTTTTAGCTACAGTAGGAGTTTGAAAGAATTGGACAATAAAAAACCCAACAAACTCTCCTCCTTCCCTCAAAAAACCCTCCAAAATATCTTTTCTAATAATCAACTGGAACCTTTTTAAGCAGATGGAAATGTTATGGTTTTTTGTTTTTTGTTTTTTCTTTTCCCCTCATCTGCAGGATGTTGATAAATGGTCTTTTGACGTATTTACCCTAAATGAAGCAAGTGGAGAGCACAGTCTGAAATTTATGATGTATGAGCTGTTTACCCGATATGACCTTTTGAGCCGTTTCAAGGTCAGGAACTACCCACAAATAAAATAATGTATGCAAAAATATATATGTCAAATTTAAAATGCAAGGATGACAGCATAAGTTGGACTTTTTTTTATTGTACGATGCAATGCAAAGAATATGACAAATCAAATATTGTAATATTCCAATTGTTCTACCAAATGAAACTTCTGCAAGCCAAAAAATGGAAACACCCATGTCATGTCATTTGTAAGCATTACAAAAATAGATTATGTATACAGCCTATTTGCTCAGTAGGACTGAATCAGTGACCCAGCTTCCTGGAACAAAGATTACTAATAATGCAGAAAACTGTAGTTAGTCTTAAGTACTTTTTTCATGGTCTAGATCATAGTATGTTGCTCACTACTGTCGAGGGGCTTCAGATGAACCTTCCTCTCTGAAACATCTTGAAGGGATATATAAAGAGAAAGCTGGTTTTCCATGGTGTTTCTAGGGGTTTACAATACAATATGGAGTACTTATAGCCAATTTTGAAAGGCTGAGATAAAAATATGGATCAAAATGCCAAATTTATCATTATAATAGAACCAAATGAAAGTTTTCTTATACTTTCAAAATCTCTCCACTGCAAAACTCCATGTTCCTTTTGAAAAGACTGCTTCACCCTGAAGTTGTTCTGAATCTTTTAATTGTAACAACAAGCTTCACATGCTTGAAGTCAGAACCACACCAGGGCTGCCATTAACAACACAGACACGAAGTACACAATGTTACCTGCAGAGTGGGTTTAAGCCCATTCTCAGTTCCATTGTTTACCTTACAGGGCTTTTAAATAAAGAAAAAATTCTTAAGGCAAATGTAGTTTCATTATATGGGTGATGTGTTTTAACCCTGGCCACCAAAAAAGCTCACTTCTCTCCCCAGCAGGATGGAAGAAGAGCATTGAAGGCGTAAAAGTGAGAAAATTTGTGGGTTGTGATAAGTACAGTTTAATAATGATAATATGAGAATGGTGTTCTCAATAATAATATAGAAAATTAATGAAAATAACAAAGAGAGATATAAAACCAAGAAGAAATGATGCAAATGAAAACAATTGCTCACCACAACTGACCGATGCCCAGCCGGTCCCCAAGCAACAGCCCCCAGGCAGCCTCCCCCTGCTTTGTGCTGCTGACCCTGACACCACAACCTTGGGGTATCCCTTGGGTCAGCTGGGCCTGCTGTCCTGGCTGTGTCCCTTCCCAGCTTCTTGTGCACCCCCAGCCTACTCGGTGGTGGGGTGGGATGGGGAGTAGAAAAGTCCTTGACTCTGAATAACCTCTGCTCAGCTGTAACTAAAACATGTTATCAAGACTCTTTCCAGCACTAATCCAAAACATAGTCTGATAGTATCTGCTATGAAGAAAATTAACTCTATCCCTGCCAAAACCAGCACAATGGGAAAATAAGTTGGACTAGATAGTACTTGTACTTCACATATTGCCTGGAGGAAGGAAAGTCATTTTATGAGATTAAAGGAAACCTTGCCTCAAGCAAGTAAAACTGGTGAAGAAAAGGAGATAATCCTATTTTTAGACTCCTATCTGTCATGCCTGTATTATATGAGCAATCTATCCCAGTATAGACAGACAGGCATGTCTTGAAAACCGTTTGGTTGATAGCTCTGCAGTCTCTTGTGCATGGTGTATGTAGAGGGATATAACATCTACAAAAATTGGATGAAGACTCACTGATGCATGTATGATATTTGACCTTTACATTTTAATTTTTTCTTTTGCTGTTTGCTAACTACATTCTATAGTATATTACTCGTGGTTTATTTATTGCATGATTGACTTTGCAGCTGTTGCAGGAAAAAACCAGTTATTTTAATGTTTTATTCTCCCTAGATCCCTGTTCCCAATCTTATTTCATTTGCTGAAGCTCTTGAAGTTGGTTACAGCAAATACAAAAATCCATACCACAATTTGGTCCATGCAGCTGACGTTACTCAAACTGTGCATTACATAATGATTCACACTGGTATCATGGTAAGAAATATTGTGAAGTTCAATTTACTTTTTTTCTCAGACTCTGCTGTTTTGGATCAATGTGTGCATATGTCTTTTCTTAAGGAAAAATCTCCCTTGAAAATTGTGCAGATAGAGATTCCAAACTACCATTCAGGCTGTGAACTTTGTCATTTTAACAGTTTTTCTGAGCTGAAGCTCTCCCTATGTGGAGGGAAAAGGGAGGGAAAAAATCCTTCTTAAATCTTGTTTCTTTTTGTTGCCTGGACTTGGGTATTATATATCATATTAGAATAGATAGTTTTGCAGGAGTGGGCAGGTGAGAAATTTTTACTTTCACATCACAGCATGGGAGGTGTGATCAGGCAAGGAAGCTTTAGTATCTGCTGAGGTCCTGGCTGTTGAAAGATGTACTGAATCAGTGCAGGCTTAGAATTATAGCAGCATAGAATGTTTTGGGTTGGAAGGGACCTTAAAGACAATCTAGTTCCAACTACCCTGCCATGGGCAGGGACACCCTCCACTCGACCAAGCTGCTCAAAGCCCCATCTGGCCCAGTCATGCACTCTGCAACTGCTTTTTCTTTTAGTTTACTGCCTTTTTAGGACTACTCTTGTATACTGTATATGCCTGTAGTAGGCAGGATATTGCATTTGTCTTGCAATGTCACAGTATTTTTTATTATTTATTTGGGAACTGAAATGAGAAATGAGTCTGTGCAAGCATTTTTATTTCTAAACACTTATATTTAATACCAGCAGTGGGAATCTCCTCCCTATCAGCTTGCTAGGCAGAAGTAAATACTGACTGAAAGAGAAGGGACATTGCTATCAATGGCCTTTTGATGATTCGTCTTCACTGTGAATACACTTGTTTACAAAAAAAAAAAAAAAAAAAGAAGACAAACCCAAACCAACAAACAAAACTACTTGGAAGAGATAGTATCTGATTTCTGTTTGCAGAGCTATGAAACAATTCTGTAAGACTTTGGAAAGGAAAAATTTAGGACTGATTCTAGATGTTTGTGCTCATATATATACAAAATAAATGTCAGTAAGTCGCTTATGTTAAGCCTTTTCTCGCTTAAAACTTTGCCTTTGGCTGTAGTGGGGGCAAGGAGAAGTCCCTAGGCATTGCAGGTTTTTATTCTACTGTTTGAAGGAAGTAATTTACTTCTAAGTATCGGGTTTTTAAAGCTACATTTTAACTCCAATACTACTTCCTGAATTAAGCCTGGAGTATTCCCCAGCCAAGATTCCTATTCACATTGAGATGTTTTCTTGAAAAAAATGACTTTTATATCAGGCTGAAGCAGAGCCTAGACAGCTCTTGCCAAGATGAGTCCAAAACAAAGTTTTTGTATATAATATTGATCTATCAAAATAGTATTTTAATGAAAGAAAAATATTGAAGAGATTAAATCATGCTTCCTAACCTACTCTTGTCTTCTACAGTAAAGTTAACAGCAAAAGTTAAGTGATGTGAGACATGTCTTTGTTGCAGATGTACACCTGGATCAGCAATTTAACAGGGAGGAAAATCCCTGTGTTTTGTTATATACTATAAACATCCCTTTGGCCCATTGTATCTGTGCCCCTCTGCCCTTCAAAAACCATGATAGCATTCAGATTTTCTTTGCGATGCCAGAACAAGGTTTCAGCTTCCAAAGCTGTCCTAGCCAATTTGGGATGTTTTGCCATTGATTAAACAACTTTGCAACACACTTTGTGTCTCTCTGAACACTGAATGAAGGAATCCGTTTCATATTTGAATGTCTGCTATTTCACTGAGTGCACACAAGTATGAGAAAGACCCCACCAACACTAGTTTTACATTATTAGCATCTTAACCTTTTAACTGCACTTTGATGTGATTTGGACAACTATTTTCAAAAAAGTTTAGACTTTGCTGCTGTAAAACCTCATTAATGCTGCAAAACTGCTACAAAATATTTCTATAAAATTAGGCCAGTTTTAATTCACATTTTAATTGCCAAATTATGATACTGAATTGCAATATTTCCCTGCCCATATCAGGGGGGATTGGAACTTTCCAACCTAACCATTCTATAACTCTACGGTTCTATGATAAAACTAGGACAACACTTAGTCAAGAGTGCCTTCAAACAGATGTAGCTTGCCAGGCAGAGGGAACATTTATGGAACTTGGTGTTTGAAAGAGGGCCTAGCGATTCTGCAGCTTGCAAAGTATTTCTGTCCCAAATATCTCTTGCAATTTGAGAACGCATCAGTATCATGAGAATTTTCTATTTAACTTTTTTTTTTTCCCTGTTGCCTGGTTTACTCTCCAGAGCCCTACTCATTAACAGTTTGAAATTTGCTTCTCAAGCTGATAATTTTCAGAGCATGTCCATTCTGCACCTCTTTTAACTCTGCTGTATTTCTGGCAAATACCTGGATTGGAGTCAATTTGATGCAATTCTAGATCAAATTCCAGAGCTGTTTGTATTTTTTTTTGTTTGGGTTTTTTTGTTTGTTTGTTTGGGGTTTTTTTTTGCAGGTTGGTGTACAATTTGAAGTTAATTGGCTTTTATTGTATCAGGAACTCATACTGACTCCAAAACTGTTCATTTCCAAAAGACATACTGAAACAAATGTTTCAAAAAGCTGGGTTTTAGAAAATCCGTTTCACAATTCATGTTGTTGAGGTCATGTGTTTTGTATTTTTATAGGCAGTTGGAAAACAGCCGTATTTCAGCAACTGCCAAAAAATTTGGCTGGTCACAGTTTATGCTTCTCCACAAGCCCTTAGAAAGATTCCGGTAAAGAATAACACATATTCAGAGTCACAGTTAAAGAAATAAAATTATCATTATATTTTTCAAAAGTTGCTGTCTATCTTAAGAAACAAGATCCAGCCACCTCAGATCAACGTGCTAGAAAGTTAGATATCACAGATGGCACGGAGTTTATTAACCTTCCCAAGAGATTAAATCCCAGATGATATGACTGAAATGTATAACTCAAGGTTGCATTTATGAGGTTTTCATCTTTATAAAGATTTAAGAATCCAAGTCCCAGGGAATACATCTCGTAAAGAACTTTTGAGTCATCGATCATCTTCCCACCATCCCTTTTCTCCTCCCACGTACCTGTATTGCTCAAAGTAAAGAAGCATACTGTCAATAAGTGAATTTTGAGACTCCATTTCTTACTCAGTTTTTAATCCATTGTTGTAAAAAAATTAGTTTCAAACAGAGCTGAGTTGAAATGTATCTATTTACTTATAAGCAATTTATAACACTGGAAAACAGCTCTCAAATAAAGAGATATTTTACATTAGGCATTACACCTGCATGTCATAGTATCTTTTGAGAGGGAAGAGGTTTCAGCTCTTCACAGTCCTGCAGACTTCCAGATACCTGTTTTTGCCTCTCCCTTTGAGAAAAACACTTGTTAACTGTCTCTCTAAGAGCTTTTTCCTACTTTCTTAGAAATGCTTCAGCTAAAGTACTCTGATTCTCTGATTTGAATACTGATCTCAATTTTGACTGTACAGCTTGTGTCTGTATATGCTACTGTATGAAGTCTCTGTGTCGCCCATAGATATTGTTTGTAAGGAATGTTCTTCTACTTGTAAATGCATTGTGTAGCAACTCTTTTGGTTGCTGGAAAAGCTGACCTTAAAAAGACATCTAAAAGAAAAAGTTTATGTTTAGTTACTAATAATTTCTGTGTTTCTATTCTATTTGGTATGTTGAAAATATTGTGAAAGCCAGGACTGGTCATGGCCTGGTTTCTTCTGACACACAATACTATGAAGGTCATCGTTTCCATTTTTAGAACTGCTTACAGTACATTCTCTTTACTGTGTTGTGACCTTTTAAAATCTGTACTGCTTCACCAACAGGCAGTACTTGTTCCTCAGCAGTCTTATTTTGTTGCTGAATGGCCTATTTTATTATTCTCAAATTACTTATGAATCTTGACGGTTCCCTTTCTTCTTCTTCGAAAGAAGTGCTACTATTGGCAACTTTTACTACATCTGGCAGCTTATATATCTCATATCCACTCATACACATGTATGTGTATATTCGGGTGCATAAACTTGAGATCATTCTTCGATCCTTTAGAACAGAAGCTTACTTTTATGCCAAAAACATCTGAAATATATTCTGGCACTTGACTTAATCAGTCCTGTGACTGTGGGGGTTAATTATGATATGATTTTTCTGCCCCCATTTTTAGATGGAGTAAATTTTATCCTCAAGGATGATTTAGCATTCAAGAAACAGAAATTGAAAGAAGATAATAGAGGTTATTTTACAAACTGAGTGATACAGAACAGCCTCAGTTAGCAAGTTATAAAAGGACACAAAACTCCAGGGTCTGCATTATTTTGTATACATGACCTGTATTACCTTTTGTTCTGTGTAACTGTATGCACCCTTTTTTTTTAATCAGTACAAACTATGATAAAATTTAGAACAGAAAAGTCTCCCATGGGCCTAATTTTAGTACCATGTACACTGGCAAAGTATAGTTAATGCTGATGTTGTATGTTGAATTTTTATGAACTGTATATATAGTTTACTAAAAGATAAATTATAATCTTAACTTCATATCAAGCTTTTAGATTAATATGGCATAATTTGGCAAGTGTCATGTGTGGGATAACAGATTGGATACTGATAGCAGTTGCAAAGTACATCATATAATTCTCTTGATAACTTCTTATATTTTCAGCTGCCAATATTTACTTTGCTAGTGACCAAATGGATGTTAACTTGGTCTCAGAGAAATCATAACAAGTAAAAGGACTTATTTTACTGTATAATACTGAAGTGTTATGGATATATAGTTGCCTGGAATAAGACAAGTGGAAAATTTATTTAAGTTAAAGGTAGTGCAAAATATTTTCAGTACTGTACTGTTTAATCTGAGTTAGGCTGTTACTGTAAATGTGACTAGGATTTGTTTTTCACTTACCAGCACTGGCTCACAGAACTGGAAATTTTAGCAATGATCTTTGCAGCTGCCGTCCATGATTATGAACATACTGGGACCACAAACAATTTTCATATTCAGACAAGGTAAGCAAAGTGATCTCTTAAGAGTCATATCTGGAGTTCACTGTTCATTGGTCTGAGCTGTTTCATATCTCTTACTAGTAAAGCCAGGAAGTAGCCAGGTCATGCCTGATTTTACAAATTGCTTCCTCGACCTCTGTACAGTTAATGGGACCATTCACATGGACAGACAGTGTGGAAAAGTAAGGAGATAGCTCCATTACGTTTGAAATCATTCTATTTTGGAGCTGATATGACAAGAGAAATTTCAAAAATATTCAGAACATGGACTTGAAAACCCCTCACCCCTCTCTTTGTTCACTTAAATTCTGATATTTCTGAGTCAAAAATTTCTTCTACTATGTCCCCATAAAAATACTACCTCTCTTTCAGCATGTGCCTAGACATACTTCAGGTGCTACATTTTGTTTCATTTTGTATATTAAACTTACAAAGTCCTGGTGCAGAGGGAGAAACCTTCAATTACAGCTTTAGAAATACCTACCATGAGCCCTCTCCTAGCATGTTTTGACAGCATCTGCAGTAGGCATGAAAAAGAAATCTAGAGAGGAATCCAGTTTGAAAGTTAGGCTAGCTGTATTCTCATGTAGGTGCAGCCTATCATTCTAGCTGCTGGTCCTGTACAACAGCATATATCTCTTCCCATTAAAATATTTTCAGCTTACCGAAGGAAAATCCCTGACCAATACATTACTAAGTGATAAATGGTACACCTGATACTTAACCTAATTCAAAGCATCTTATTTTTCTCTTACACTAGGCTATACTTTGATTTTAGTATCCTCAGTTGAGGAGTTTGCTTTAGCTGGTCTTAAAAAAAAATAAATTCAGCATCACACTGGCATATTCTAATAAAACAGCTCAGTGCTAGAAAAATAAATACTTTGAGTGGAAGCATCCTCACACTCACTGATATGGATAAAGTGCCAAAGGTAACATTTAAATTAAATCTGTAACATACTTGTGCTCCAAGATGTGCCCTTCAGTAATGAACAAATTCTAGATTTGCGGCTGAAATAAGGACGCAATTCTTTTCTCTCTCAGCACAATCTGGCTAAAAATAAACCAGTTTGTAGTTCCAAGTTTATATTACTTTTCTATTTTTGTCCTTAATATTTTCCTCTGCAGTATTGCAAGAGTGGAAAATTAATTAAGCTGTTAGCCTTTGAATTTTACTTGCAAACAGGTATTTGTTTTGTAATGTAGCTCATTCTTCTCTCTTAGTGTAAGTTGGCCCTGATGTGGCATCCCAGGGCTGTAATTCCAAGCTTCTGAGAAAAGCTGATGGAATTGCTGCCAGAATCATAGCAAATCTTAGCACCTCTTAAACCTATCCGTAAGTAGCTATGTCCATCAAAGTGTGCTTCTTAAACATATGTGATTAGCATAATACAGATTTTCCCACAATTTCAGTTGGATTATGGATGTAAACATATTGAGTTTCAGCAGGTTATGGTTCATTCCCTCTAAATAAAGTTTCCAATCCTATTTTAATTCTTTAGATACCTTAGTACCATATATGACAATATATAATATTGCTCAACAGAACAAGAGGTTCAATATAGTTTATTTATGTCAGAGGGAGCTGCACTGCTAAATCATCACACCTTTCTTCTGGTACAGACTTTTCAGTTGACCAAGTTGAAATATTCAGTAATAGTTTTATCAGAATGGAAGTGTAGCAAAGAGGAGAGACCTGAGGTTGCTTAGCAGGTCAGGTCAGGTCTTGGGGAAATAAATTCCCCAAGAATCAATCATGTTTGAAACTAAGTATGATAAATCCACACTGCATCGAAATTTGTGAAAATTTCAATGTCATTTTGGAATTGTACGTTAGTCTTTAATTAAGAGGGAAAGGATACTGTCAAGTGTGCTATCATTATGGTATGGGTCTTTCTTTAGGAAGCATTTGAATGCAATTAAATTTCAGCTCAAGGTTTGGCTGTGTTTCTGACAAAAGATGGTGTCTGTTTACAACATATGAAATTAAAGCTTTTTAATATTTTATTATTTACAACTCCCTCTGATAATGAGCAACATGGACCAAAGCACATCTCTCAAAACAAGGGTAGTAACTTCTTAACACCCATGCTGTTGGTGAAGACACTGCATTTTAAATGGTCGTATTGCCAAATTTTACTCTTGGGTAGCCTAACTGAATAATTTCTGTTGTTCTGTGGTCCTATCTACAGTTAAGAAGCTCAAAGATCTCACAAATTTTTGTCACACTTAGATCATATAAATAAAACATCACGCATTTAAAATTATGACTTTCCCACAAATAGTATATACAATGGTATAATGACAATTTTTTATGCATCTAAGATGGAAAATTTATCAGTATTCGATACAATAGGAACAAATAAACATAGTTTGATATATATGTGTGTGTATATATATATATACATATATAGTCAATAATTCTCATAGAGGATACATAGGCCTACCTTTCACAGTGCCATCATTAGGACACTATTACCAAATCTACCTTTTTTTTTCAACACTAGGTCAGATGTTGCTATATTGTACAATGATCGTTCTGTTCTTGAAAATCATCATGTAAGTGCTGCTTATAGACTCATGCAAGAAGAAGAGATGAACATCCTGGGTAATTTAAACAAAGATGACTGGAGGTAAGACTTGCAGTGACATTCAAACATAATTCCAGTATTTATAAATAATAAAAACCACCAAGCCTTCCCCGTGGAGTCTATTTTAAGAGTTCAAATTACAGGAAACAACATTGTCACTGAAAAGAGTAATGGATATTTAGAGCCTAGGGAAGGCTGCTGCAGTACTAAGAAATATTGTTTGGGAGACTCCAAACAAAATCAAGTTTTCCAAGTGAGATTGTGCATTTATGAGACACAGTGCTGGACTGTGTGGACAGTGTCTCCGGTGAGATAGATCTTCAGGAAAACCACAATGCTGCTCTGGAGCTGGGTTACCTTTGTCTAACAGTGGGTTAAAACCACAGTGCAGAGTCACACTACTGCCAGCTTGAGCACTATTGCCCCTGGGATTTCACCATAGTCACGTCTTGGTTAAGCAGTAAAAAATTAATTATGTGAGGAGTCCAGAAATAATAAGGTAAAGGCCCAGAAGTGCTACAGAAAGCTCTTCTTTTTCTTCTTAATTTTAGTGTAATTCCTGAAGAAAATTTGCCCAGCTGAAAGAGTAAGGATCATAATTGATATATCACAAATACTGAGACATGTAAGGCTAAAATGAACAAGTGTTAGACTAAGACTTTCCCATTATTCAAAAGGACATGTTATCTTTGTATATCATTGTTTGATACATAGAACATTTAAAATATAAGTCTTCTGTGTGTTTCTGTAAACATAGCTATTATTCAGGGATCCTAAAAAAACCCTTTCAAACAGGTGGACTGTGAAGCCAGAGAGATGTTCTGCTTCCAGGAAGTCTTCCGCTGTGAATGATGCTACCATGAATAACAAAGCTATACTCTGCTTAATTTATATTTTCATGAGGCCGTACATTTATTAGGGAATGTCAGATCAAATTTTGTTGTGTTGTATATTTACAGATGAAGGACTGTTTTACAGGGTAGATTTACATGATTTTACTTATCTATGTGATGAGAACACCCCGAAGTAAAGCATTTATTGAGTGTAAGTCTTCTGGCCCTTTTGGTTTTCAATTAATTCTTTTTCTGTACCTGTTTCTAAAACAGACCATTAAAAGTATTGTTAATTTTTAATTTAATACAAAGTGAGAGAGGAAGCATACAGGTTTTCGTTCTTTTAAAAATATTATTCTCAGAGGATACTCATTTGGATTTAGTTATCAGAACTTTTGTGCTGTGAATTTAGTAAATTGAAAACTTCAGCAATAACTGTTTATACACCTAGATTTTCATTGCCAACATGAGCCAACCTTGTTCTAAAACTATTTTGGGCCCAATAATTTTGGGGCTGATAGGTCTATGTGACCATATTTTTGCTTGTCCTAACTATTGAGTGTGGAGAAAGTCATTGTGCCAGTAGATAGCCATCAGAGGCTGGTATTCTGTCTTTTAAAACCATTGTTTTAGAGAGAAATTTATTTTCAAATCTTCAGACTTGTTGCCTTGAGTATTTTTTTGAAGTGGTGTTGTTTCATATTGTGTCCTACCAGACAGGACATGACTCCTTCAGGTAGAAAGGAACAGGTCTTCTTCAGTTGAACTTCAGTTCAAGATTGTGCCAAGGATGTCTTAGAAATACTTATGTGCATCCCTGGTCCTGACTTCTTTGTCACTGGAGGCCACCATAAATTATTACAGTTTGGGAATCCGTGAAGCAACATACACTGACTCCAGCTGAGAGCAATCTGGCTGCCAGCTAGTAGAGTTTATCCCAGTCATTCCCATTTGTTATATCACTGAGAAAAAGAGTAATAGGTTGGAAACAAAATAGTTACCAATGGAAAGAGGAGCCTGCAGTTTCCAGGTGTGTGATGTTTATACACACTGCTCAGGTGGACTGCAAACAGAATAAAGGGGAAACGTGATAGGCTCTCTCCACTTTGTGAAGCACACTCTTCTCTGCATAGATTGTTTGGTCTGGGTTTCCCATAGGTGTTTTCCCAGTTCAGTTATGGACCATTTTGTCTAACTTTTGTTGCATTTCATTTCTCTGTGGTTTTTGAACCTGTGATAAACTACCACGTTCTTTTGGACGTTGCTTGATCGCACACTGGCTCTGTTTACACTTGCTTTTCTCCCAGTCTTCTCCCACTGTAACCCAATTGTGTTTTTCTAGAGGATCTTATTTTAATTTTGCAAATTTTGTTTTTATAAAGTGGCCACACAGATCCTATTATATGCAGACAGTTTGAAGTTGGTGAGATATGGCAACCAGAGAAACTAGAATTTATCATCTCTTTTTGGGCCTATTCAGTACAACTTAGAAGAGACCTATTAATTGACTAATAAGCTCAAGCAACTAAACCAGAACGCTCAGTTCTGTGTTTTGTCACTTGGCTAAGCAATTACAGTCTGTACTTTCAAGCAAATAGTAAATTCCAAAATGCCAGTCTGTGCCAACCTGCACAACCTGTTCATGTCTGAGACTTCAATTTAGAGCGGCAGTCATGGAAATTATAGTTTCCTGGTATTCATTTCTAATACCCAGAAATTCCTGTAACCCTGTCATGAGATGCAGTTGTTCATTGGTGCAGTGATGGATCTGTTAGCCACTTAACAGAAGCTCTTCAATTTAATAATTACTACTGTAGTGAGCTTTTTGGATCTATACTGAAATTCATGCTGTTAAACTAACAGTTTTGAAGTTTGCACTGCATCAAGTTGGCAGTAAATTGAAATGATAATTTGTTCAACTTTTTAATGTACTTCCTGGCACTGATTAATTTCTCTTCTACTGTCATATCTATTTTCTTAGGTGCAGGGATTTAATTTTTAAAAAATTTAACACTGCTGACTATTTAAATGGAGGTTCTGCTAATTATTTCAGCAAGATGAAGCAAAATGACAGAGAATGACTTTATAGTATTACATTTCTCTTCTGCATGTTAACTTTAAGAAGATAAATGTACTAATAAACTGACAACTTTAATTAAGTTTAAAACATAGGCTTTGGGTCTGAGCAGGGAAACACTGCCAGCATTCTGAGGATGATGTCCTTTGTGGATAATGCACGTGACATTCATAGTAATTTCTCAGTCTTTTCTCAGCTCTGAAAATATGTCCTAATCATTGATATTGTCTTGTTTCTCTCACTTAGTACCCCTAAAAAACTAAAGAGGGATACTTGTTTGTCTCCCTTTCTCCTTTGATTTACCAGACTTCTAGTGTCCTAGCACCACATGCATTAATGTCAACAGTTATAGGTGGTGAGGCAGTATTAATGTCTCAAACCATTCCAGTCAGAAGGCATACAATGATACAAAAAAGACTAATAAAACAATATATATTATATGTAATGCACAAAGAATAGCATTTATTTCACAAATTCCCTTGGGATTCTTCTGTGTGAGGATTCCTGTAACTTGAAGATGAACCTTATGTCTTCAGTTCCCAACTTGCTTTTGCTCATCTTAGTCTGTTTCTGTATTTCTTTTATTAATTTCCAACTGACTAAATGTCTTCATCACGGACATTTGTCCAGGTAAAGCTGGTTTCTGTTTATAGGTTAACTACTTTTCCAAGAAATTCATGAGCCACTTCTAGTCTCTTCATTACAGCATTGTTCATGTAATTTTTTCACATAGTCTTGTATCTATGTCTTTTTACAGTATCCTATCCATAGGACTTATGGCTATAGGAAGGTTAAGATAGCGTGACAGCACAGGACATGAAAATTTGCTTAAGTAAAGCAGAGATGGTATACTCAAAACCAGTAATCTTTGGATTTGGGGCCCAAAAAAACATTCTGTGTTATACGTGAATACTATTACCACTTCCCTTCATAGTAAGACAATATCTGCATATCTTTTTGCCAAGATAGCAGGAGCAATGCTGACTATATTACCCTGATGCTTGTAGCTCTTGACTGCCTGATGGTCATGGGGAGAGATTTCTGTCCATGAGTTACCTATAAGACCAGCTCAGGTCTCCTTTGATACGGAAGTTGAGACAATCTTTTTTTCCCTGGGAAGCAATTTGGTAATGGTATCAGTCCAAGAGTAATCTGCTGTGCAATGCTAGTAGACAAAGCATTTTTATCTCTAGTAGAATTTTATTTAACATTTTCCAGTCAGGTCTCAATTTTCTATCTCTCTAATTATGATGGATGTGGGTGCAGGCAGGAAACAACTGCAGGTGGACAGTCTCTCCTTTGCTGTTAAGCAGCTTTTTAAGTGGCCTAAAATCCTCACAAGTGCGTGAGAGGGCAGTGCTACATTGTTTGATCCTTATTCAGGTGATGGAAGTAAGAATTAGGGTTTTTCCACTGCCATGATGATATGAATAAACTGAAAACAGTGTTTTACTTCTCTGTGTGTCTTGTGTAGTAGGAATGAGGTCTTTTGTGAGTAGGTGTGAACTTATTTCTGATCACTGTTTAAAAGTTCAGGCATTTAAAGTTCCTAGGAAAGTCTCCCATAGAAAGGAGAAGTGATAATTATTTCAGTCTTACAAACAACAGGGTTTAATAATGCAAAACCATCAGTATTCATGTAGTATTAGCAGAGTTTTTGTTTGGTTTGAGTTTTTTTTTTGGTTTGGTTTGGTTTTTATGGGGTTTTTTTGTTTTGTGGGGTTTTTTTTAATGGGTTTGACTGTGTTTGAAAGGTACAGTTTCAAAGCAACGTGGAGGAGGAGCAGCTGGGATGCAAAATTATTATGAGGTCAGATAAGGTAGGGCATTTTCTAAACACAAGTTGCTATGGCTGCATATTGTTGAATAGAAGCAAGAGGATTGAGTCTTTATCCAGTTACATCAAAGCAAATCAGGAATAAATACATAATGAGGAATATCTGCTTAAATATGCAATTAATTTGGCTTGAAAGCAGTCTTGATAGTCTTTATAACAAAGTATTGTAACAGCCCTAAAGAAAACTGCAAATTACCTCCTTAGAACATAGTCCTTTGAAAAAACTGCCTGTTAAGTATATCAAACATATGAATACAATATAAAAGGTCAGTGAAAATTACTAAAATGGGATTCTACTGTTGTAATTGATACTTGGATATCCTTAAGATTGGGGGTGTATTCATGAAGGTATATGCTACATAATCAAAGTTTTAATGTGGTGAATTGTTCCCCACATATGTACAAGCAATACTTGCACATAAGTCCTTCTAGGCCATTAAAAAGTATGCAAATATAGACCCAGTGGACTCCTGCATGGTCTATATATAATCCTTCTACATCAAGGAAACTGAATTTTCAAAGTCAATAATTATTATTGACAAAATTAATTCAATTTAATATAATATGTAATCAGAATTAATACACTTTCTTACATTATTCATGATTCATAGTTTACTGGTTTCATGGTCATTTAATAGAAAGCTGATGGACAAGCCAACTCTGACCATAATACCAAGATAGAGATAAATTATAAATCCTGAACTTGTTCTGAACCATTAAATAGGCATTACAGTATTTTTGAGAGGGAAGGTAGTTTGTCATAATGATCTTATAGTGATATAATATTGATAATGTTTCAGATATAATACCTCTTGCTCTTCTGAGTGTTTCCACAGCCTTCTTCCTAGGTTTAATGTGACTCACACTCCTCATTAATATGAGGGCAGTAATAAAAGACACAAATGTATCCTCTTGTGTGGTGGTAAGCCAGAGACCAAGTGGTTTTTTGAATACTCTACTGCTGGACAAAATAAGGAAAGACTTATAATGGGTGAGAGAACTGCATGTAATATTAGTTTATGCACTAGCAAATAGGAGTTACAGAACAGTGTGACTCTGAAATAATGATTGAAGAGTACATTTTCTGAGGTACATTGCTTTCACAGAATCCCTTTAGGATACAATGTTCAAGTTGTTAATAATTTATTTAAATGCTTTTTAAAATGTAATAAACCCCATGATGTTGTTTTGAAAGTTATAAATTAACAAGTGCCGCTTAAACAAATGTACCATATGGAGAATAAATGAATTTTAATCAGTCATTTTGCTTTTAATTATTCTTAGGGAGTTGCGTAGCTTGGTCATTGAGATGGTCTTGTCTACAGATATGTCAGGTCACTTTCAACAAATTAAAACGATGCGACACACTCTACAGCAGACACAGGGGTAGGTTATTTTCCGTTCTCTTCATTATCTGTAGTCTTTCAATGAGCTCGTATACAAGAAAAGAATTTAAATAGTTGCTTTTGTTTTGAGATAATTGGAGCATGTCCTTGAATTGACAGGGTAGACAAAGCCAAAGCCATGTCTTTGATTCTACATGCAGCAGACATAAGCCATCCAGCAAAATCCTGGGAACTGCACTACCGGTGGACCATGGCCCTGATGGAAGAATTTTTTCGACAGGTGCCATTTTTAAAATCCTTTAATAAATCTAGTTCAAGAAGCAATGGTTATGCAACTAAATATTTCCATAAGTCTACCAGTGAGGTTGCTGTTGGTTGTGATTGACAAGCATAGTCAGTAGCATATATTCTTTACTTTTCATACATACCACTGACATTAATTCAACTTTTGTGTGTGTGAATAAGATGAAATGGTTATAGCTTTATATCTATTTCAGCTGATATCAGAATTCTGAGTGTTGTAGTGGTTTTTTTTTCTTTCAAGTATAATATAACTTGTCAAGCTGTTTGCATTCTGTAACAGAGATTTATATATGCTTTGTGTTAAAAAAAAAAGTACCAGCACGGTAGGATAAGGGAAAATAGGAAGAATTCATGTTCAGAGAAGGCAAAAAGTTGTCTCCATTTCACATTTCTTTTCCTTGCTAGTATTTTTTTCCTTCCTAGTATTTGACATCCATATGCCACATAGATGTGAAGGTGTTGCTTTCATAATAGCCTGATCTAAAACCAGAGGTTAGACAGTACCATCCTGTTAACACTGTGGTCATACATCCTAAACAAAAAATGGAGACACACCTTTGTGAAAGTCTTTTCATTTCTGTGAGGTACTGGATTCAAAGAGAAAACCCAGTAGATGTTGGTGTCACTGCTGTCGTTTTTTAACTCCCCTCAGCAGGTGAAAACAAACATATCTCCCTGTAACCAATATTTGTGACCACACACATTGTCAACATAACAGTTACTGAAGTATAATTGATAATCAAAATCCAGTTTAGGTGTTATACAGTTTCTGTAGTTATGCACAGGTTTTAAAAAATGGTTAATACAGATAAGGGAACAGTGTGTATCTTGTTCAGCTTGATTGTCTTAATTGTGCTATATGATGACATTTTCAAATCAGATAGGTCACACTGGAAAAAAGAATCAGAAAATAAAAAGACAGTGTGTTAAACCATGAGTTAATTAGGCCCATCTACCCTATAAGGTTCTTGCTCAGTTTATGGAGATTCTTTACACAAGTTCTCAATAGGGAGCATCAGGGCATCCTTTACACTGGGCTTTGCACGGGGGAAACAGACTGGAGAGCTGGTGCCTTAATCTAAATAATGAATGGACTGAGTTTTGTGGAAATAATGAGTAGAGTCATGAGTTTGTGTTTGCTTTTGTAAATGGAAATTGTGAGGATTTCGAACTTGAGAGCAAAAAGGAGGAGCAGATTACCCCAGAAAAAAAGATCGTAAAATGACCAACTGTAAAAACATTTTAGACATAGAGAGACAGACTAGACAGAGCCCATGGAGCAGTGAGGCAATGTATCCAGTCAAGTGGAGGTAGCATTAGCAGTAAACAGTACCACACTGGTCATTGAATGCATAGGATCAGCTAATGTTTTAGTTAATCTTTTATCCATTCGTTAGAAGTAACTGGTTCCCAAATAAGCTGCTAAAAGACTTGAGAAGGCATTTAACAATAGAACATGCAACCATGTATGTATGTCTGCAACTCAGCAGTAAAATATGAAAGTCTTCTAGGCTGCAGAGGAGCATACAAGAAACTGAATCACTCTTTATATGTACTGCTAAGAACAGTGTGTGAGGAGTAGGTCCAACACTTTTAAAGTGTCATGAAGGAACTGTACCTATATAAATGCACTGAGCAGTGCAGAAGCAGTAGGTGCACGTTCCTAGATGCACTGGCTTGTTGTGCAGCCTCTGGTCTGTTGATCTGAGCCTCTGTGACAGAAATCTCTGGAATTTCCAAATGTGTGTCAGCCAAGGTAAAGTAGTCCAAATGTATATAAAACCCACTGATTCCTTCTCTTCTTTTCTTTAAAGCTAGTATTCAACTACTTCTACTGCCTTACAGGAAAAACAGCAGAGTCTGAAACAGCTGATACAAATCCAAAGCTTTCACAGACAGCTTTTAAAACAGTGATCATCAGCAAAAAATGAACATTCACATTGATAAAAACTTTGTTAAATACAGCTAATGGTTAAAATATGTGCCATTGTTAACTTACAGGAAAAAAGCTGAACACTTCAAGTTTAAGCAACAACTACAGAAAGTGTGTTATAATGCCAAAGAAAATCTGAGTTACTTGTTTAAAATAGAAATACAGCCACCCATCTCAGACCCTTAAAAGTAAAGAAATATATAGTTCAAGTAAAAAAAAAATCACAGCTCCTGTAGCATTCTTCTCTCAGTCTGATTAGATCCAAAAACACTAAAAGAGAGTTAAAAGTGAGTTCAGCACCTAGACAAAAAATTTTCTTTACTGTTTTGATCTGTATCTTAATTTTAAATCTCATTAAATTTTAACAATTAATTTAAGTATTAGTTCTGTGTTCATTGTTACAATTTACAATAGGCTTGGACTTACATGACATTTAAGTATTAATTACTATTGTATTAATTGCAAAGTAAGTCATAATTGGGGTAAAGAGCTACTTGAAAACAAAAAAAATTCAAACTCATTCATTACTAGTGTGAAAATTTCTCTTTTTTAATACCTAGTGAAGGAAAGATTACAAAATTAATATTACTTTAGAAATTCTGTATCCAGCAATGACTGAAATTGTAAGACCTACTCCAGTATGTATTATATTACAATCTGGCTCCTGTATTTACATAGCCATGCTGCTAGCACTTCTCCTAGTAGCAAGGGTTCATGTGTTCTTCCATACTCTGGTATCAAATTATTAACACTTGTGTGTAAAATTTAATAGCCATAGTAATAAAACTCTCCACTTTCACATGAAATGCAATCTGCAAGCTACATCTGTTCCTGTGGCTGAATTGGTTTTATTGGTAACATGGTTCTAAACCTTCCTCAAATATTGTTCAATGATACATGATAAAAAGACAAAGGAAGGTCGATACTGCCCCCTTCATCCTTCAGTTTCTGATGAGATCTTTAGGAAAAAGGCCTGTTCATATACTGCTCCCCACTGAATGATCATGAAACAACACTCTCCCTAACAAATGTAACATGTAAGTTAATTTTACTTGAAAGTCCAAGTTTTCCTATATCTATAATGGCAGTGTTTCTGGAGACCAGGTTTGTCCAGAAACACAAATTACAACCTCCTTTGGAAGATGTCTCTTCAGGGCTTTTTTTGTACCACTAGACTTTTATTATGAGCTTTTGTAAAATGGTTGATCTACTGTGCTGAAAATGGAGACACACCCTCCTGTTGACTGTTGCAACAAAAAATACTCTTCTAATGAGTTAAATGTTGAAATGTTTTCAGGACTAGGTTGTGCAAATCATCTTTGTAGTGAAACTGAACTTATACTTTTTTTATGGCTTCCGCAGCAGAGAGTCATGCCTGGTACTAAGTTCAAGTCAGTTCATACCCTTGACCTGAGTAAATCCATTGAAGGAATTTTGCATGTTGGATGAACCAGTGTAATAGAAGGAAACATTTAGCATTTGGCATACTATTACAAACATGTTGAAGTATGTCCAGGTCCATTACACCTGAGATAGCAGAACTAACCTGTGAATATTGAAGGACTTCATATATGTTACATTTCACTGGCAGATGCCTCGGTATTAAAGAGAACTTGATTGCAGTAAGTTCCTTTATATGAAAATTGTCAAAAGTAAGTTAGAATTTAGATTACTACTTTTAATGACAATTGGAAGACTTGTCTGTGACTTGTTTTTACTTAGGAATATAAGTTAACAAAGTAACTGAATAAATAATAAGAATATTCAAATTCCTTTGTCTCTCTGTCCTCCTATCAAATATATGCTTGTAATATTCAACACTGTTGTTTGCAGGGAGACAAGGAAGCTGCTTTAGGTCTTCAGTTTTCCCCACTCTGTGACCGCAAGTCCACTTTGGTCGCTCAGTCCCAAATAGGTAACGACAAGTTGTGTTTTTCTTTTTCTTGTGTGTTAGGAGCATCTAAATTCACACGAACATTTCATATACTCTTTTATCTCTTTTTGAATTTTAATTGTTCAAAATTCCATTATATAGAAGGTATTTTTTGCACCTATCTCTTCACCAAATTCCTATACTTTTACAGCAGAAATCTCCTGATCTCAAAAGAATGTGACGTAATTTCGTTGTATGTGATGCCAAGGAGGGGTAAGAGAGGGATTAACCAAAGTACTGCACATGAGCCTAGCTTCTACTGTACACACTTTAGAGTCTGGTAGATCATGTCCTCAAACTGATGATCAGGAACTTGCAGATCTGTCTCTACTATAATCTGAAAGCCTGGTACCAGTTTGTAGATGCGTCTCAACTAAAAGCTAATTCATATATCAGATCTCTGGACTGCAGTTATGCCTGTCAGTGTGTCAGGGTCAAACTACACAGGGTCAAGCCTCCCTGAATTGACAAGGACCACTGCATTCTGTCACTCAAGATGTCCTTCATTCCATTTCCCTGGGATTTTAAACGCAACATGCTTGAGCGTCATACCTACTGCAGGAGAGAAGCTGAATTCTAGACTGAATCACTGTTGCTAACCTTTGTGCTGTATTGCATGGTTAGAGTATGAAGACATCTGGAAATCTGTTGCTAGCTCATGTTTTAACATATTTTTTTTCTATTAAGTGCTCAGGAGAGAATAATGCTTCATTCTCTCACTGTGTCATTCCGTATCGTGATGAGCACTTTAAAATGTAAAAGACATTGTTCAGAGCTGACATCTCAGAACTGTGGGATAAATGCTGTCTCCTAAGGATATTACTTGTTCTCTTCACTGATTTGACAGAACCCTCCTACACACTGTGAAATAACACTTTACCTCCACAGAATAATAAACAGCAATTTGAAATATTAACTCCTTGGCAAGAAGCTCCGAATGGTAAAAGAGACAGCGTGACTTCTAGTGCTCTGGCTCAACAGTAGCTTCCCTTCTATTCAATAATTAATATTCATTTCAAATGGTAGGTGTGTTCTGCAGTGCATAAAATTTACAAGAAAAAAGAACGAAAAGCTGTAATTATTAATATCTAGTTATATCTATACAGCTTTAGGTGTTTTTTGTTTCAGTTGGGCTTTTTTGTTCAAGATTATACTAGTGGTATCTAGTGTATTGAGTTGGGAATACAGTTAGAAAATCAGCCTGATAGCAAGTATTTATTTTTAGATTTGAGACTTGTGGAAATGTAAAATCTGATTTTCTCTCTTTTTCTTCTTTAGGTTTCATTGATTTCATTGTAGAACCAACATTTTCTCTTCTTACGGACTCAATGGAGAAAATTGTTATGCCTCTTATAGAGGAAGCATCAAAATCTGAAAGTCCTGCATTTGGGACCCCCAGGTATGAATACACTGCTTAGTTTTTGAACTAACTAACATAAGGTCACTTAATAATGTCATTCTCAGAGTTATTTCAATTATTTTAACAGTTGGGAAGGTAACATAAATAGCTGTACAGTATTGCCACCCTGTGGTGCTACACTGTATTTGCAATGTGCTATTACTCCATTGACTAAATGATTGTGTGCTTAAAAAGGCAGAACCACAACAGTGATCAGAATAAACACATATAAAATAAGAAATCGATTTTCTATTTTTTTAATATAATCTTTGCAGTAGATTATTGAAATTCCTGAGTCTCTTGTCTTAAACCATTTTCAGTATTATTTTAATTGACAGTACCAAAAGTCATTCTTGTGTTTGGGAGAGACAATCGGAAGTGGAGGTGATGATGAAGGTGGTTTCAGGTTTTTTCTGTTCTTTATTATGTGGCAAGTCACTTGCCCACTTCATCTCTCCATGTTAGTATTATTTCATGTATACACTTGAGACAGAACTGGTGGCACTTATATAAGTGAGATGTGAAGGGGAGTTGTTGCACATCAAGCTCATGATTTTTCATCATGGTAGAAGTTGTATATAAAACAAACTAGCTATGACAGACAGCGTAATCTGAGTGACTGTGCTGAAAGCGTTGTTGGATAGTCAGATACTGCCCTTAGAAATACTTGCTCTGTTACCACATTTTTTTTCACTTAAAAACTGTAACTTGAGCTTTTACTGAGGTTATTAATATGATGAATCTGCTGGGCAATTTTTCATTCGCTGGGTATTAGTTAACTTTTAGTAACAAAATGGTGAACCTTCCTCTTTATTTTGACTACTAGAAGTAAGTAGAAATTACTAGAAGTAGGTATCTATGACAGTGTTTTTAGTGTTTTGGGAAGCAGTGTTAAACAAAGGTATTATTGATAATAAATTTGCTTACATACTCACTTCTTCACAAATGAGGCATTAGCAGCTGCAAATGATTAGCAGCTCTGTGCTTCACTTTTGGTTGATGTTCATGACTGAGTTGTAGATTAACAAAGATTTATCATCCAGCAAAACTTCCTTGTGTGAAGTAGAAGTTAAAGGGACTTTTAATTAGTATGGAATCAAGAGCCACACTTACGAAGAGAATGGAGAGCCTATAGCATGATACAGAAAAGTTTGAGTCAGGACAGTTGCACAAACACTACTGAGTGGACGCCATGAGTGGTGCAGTGGTGCCTGGAAAACATTAGGATTATAGTCTATTCTTTCCATTCTATCCCATTCAACATCTCTGGAGCACATGAAATTACAGTTAACTCTTCTTGGGAAGTTCTCACTGAAACTATTTCCTGCTTGATGGAAAACTATTTGTAAATGTTGGTAAGACATCTTGTGTCTTAGGCACTCTTTAGTGAAAACTATTATTTCAAGTTAGTTCCTAAGCAACTTGATTCAGATTATCTGTTTGTATATTATTAAAATTAACTGACTATGTTCATAATTTGGGGTTTTTTTCCCTTGTGCAGTCAAAATAGTTTGGGAGTAGTAAGCAATGCTGAAGCACAAAGACGACCTGGTTTTAAAAGCACAGGTGATGGAGGGACTCACGCAGAAAATTCTCTAGCAACTGTAGACCTAAGGAGCTTTAAGGACAACTTGATGAAGATCATTCAAGCAAACAAAGAAAGATGGAAAGAATTAGCAGCAGAAGGTATGATATATTAAGGTGAAATGTTTTTATAGGTTACTCCCTAAGATCTCACCTACTTCCATTTTTTAATTTCATTTAACCCGTAAAAATACATAGTTGTCTTGTATTCATATATTTTATGTCTTAATGTTTGTTTAGATGGCCTTGTTTTGCTCTCTCAGGAGATGTAGGTGGTTAGAGTATGAGAGTAAATCCTATAGCCTGTACAATAAGGCTTTGTGCTGCTCAGCTTATCTTTAGAGATTTGGTTTATAAATGTGCATTCTTGCACATTTAATTGTAACTGATACTGACATCTGCTTTAAATGCCAAAATCTACAATTCAAAGTAGTGTGTGCCACCACATTTCTTTAGAAACGTGAAAGTTGTACTTTGCTATTAGAAATGCTATTTGTTCCCCAGTGTATGGAACAAAATTCAGTATTGCAGGCTTCTTTGGACTATGCTGTAGGCAATTATTTAAATGACCCAGTGGATCTAAAGATTTGAGCAATCAATGCATGTATTATGCCCAAGCAAGGCAAAAAGGGACTCCATTTGCCAGTAGACAGTTAATAAAGCCAAACCTGCATCAAGCATCTTAGTTCATAAGCCATACCTGAAAATTTTCTGGAGTTACAGTTATCTAAGTGAAATGTTTTGTGATAATTGTTGAACAGAATTTATAGCTTTGATCCAGGTTAAGTGAATCCCATTGGGGAATATGTTGTCCACAGTCTATGTTGTTTCTGAGTAAGTGCCTGGAATATTTCAGCATAACATTTCACTGCTGAGACTGGTCTTGCTGTACATGACCTTATACTGACGGCTGGGAATGATATCCTGGAACCCAGTGCCAGCCTTGTTTTTCATCCCATCATCCCAATCAACATGTTTTTTTCTCAGAGGTGCCAGACAAAGAAAAACAGTGCTGAACAGTGATAAAATCTGATTTAGTGCTAAATTGCAAATGAATATTCTCATTAGGAGAATATTAAGAACAAGCTTCCATATATCTATTGTGACAAAGACTTGAGAGTTAGATAGAAGAGGCAGTTGAGGAGAAGACTTGACCAATATTGCCCCTTCTTCATGAGTAGCTTCATAAAACCAATTGTCTCCTTTGGTCTTGCCCAACTACTTGCCCAAATACTGACTGGTCGAAAGGAGAAAGCTGCTAATTTACAGTTATCAATAATAACAGCAGACCATCAGAGTGTCCAAGGCCACTTAGCTATAGCCTGCAGAAATCAAGGAGCCCTGAGCTAGTGACAAGCAAGGTCCTTCAATATGGAAGAATGGAGAACTTGTTATCTGGAAGTTTACCATTTCCAGTTACACGTAACTAACCAAATTGATTCTGGTACATCAGCTTTTTGGTGTATTGTTTTGGAGGTGTACAATGCTATCAATGAGCACTGTTGTTTCTCCTTCATTCCTAGTGCCTTGTAATGCTCTATAAATTACTAATATATTTAGCCCAGCTTTACTGGGCTTTTGACAGCCGTTGAAAACACAAAGCTTCTCACAGCAAGAGACTTAAGAATTCTTCTGGGTAAGATTGTTTCTCTATGCAGTCAATATTAATGTGAGGCCAAGCAAAATCCTGAAACTCTGGGCATGATTTCTACTGTGAAAAACAAGGATGTTAACGTTCAAGACTCCATGGACTTTGTTGAGATTGTGGTTGTCCTAAACTTCTTTCCTTCCGTAAAATTGACTAATGAAGTATGTCTAAGTATTTCCTGAAAAGAATTATGGAATTACAGTAAAATGTACATTAGGAAAGCTCATGGGTAAATGAAAATAGCTGGTGTTGAGGTCAGACCCTGATGAACAGTATTGTCTCTGTGTGATTGTGGCTGAATCTGGTCTTTTAAACCTCTGTATAAGGAAGAGATTAATAGAAATCTGCTCCCATAAAGAGATTACTTGCAGCAACATCTGCAGTTGACTGAAGCGCAACATAGAGACTTTCAGGGTGCCTGGTTAGACTCTAAGAGGAACCTTGCAAATAATGCAAATGCTTTTGAGTACACATTTATATTTTATTAGTAAACAGATAGTGGGGGTTTTTTCATAAAAGCTGGGTGAGGGGGGAATATATATGTTTTGTGAAAGTTATTACATTTTTCATTCATTTGTTATGGAACATCTGGGTCTGTAGTCCATATGTGGGCCTTAAGGACTGCTGGAAAGGAGTTTTTTTCTAAGTGAATGCAGCCATCTATAGAGCATTATCTGAGGTAGCACACAAGTTCTTGTCACATAATGGGAGAGGGAATCTTCCCTAGCTCGTCCAGTATATCTGCTCTGAAGCTGTACCCTGCAAAGGCTGAAAATCCTTAATCAGACTGTGGAAAAATGCACATCTAGCAAAGAATAAAAAATATGGCAATATATCGCTTTGCCATTTGAAATTCTTTTCAGATTACAATCAAGTTTGACTAATCTTGTAAGTGAATAACCTGAGACCTTGAACCTCAGACAATTAGACTCATCCTTTTTGGATCTCATATTACCTTTTCTGACTCTATTGCTTGATGAAAAGTCTTTAGGTTGCTCTGGGCATATGTATGGAGTTGTGCTTTATGCATAGGTTAGTAGGAGCACCTACCAAGAGAAGAGATGCCAGGGATAAGTCACTGCCAGAGTGAAAAGAGTATTGTTATTGCTGTTGTTATTCCTAGCTAGATAATCTATGACAAATCACAAATTGCTGAGCACACTGAGGAGGTCACATGTACTAGAATAGTGTGCTATGATAGTAAGCAGGCTGGCTGTTAGTGTAGATCTTCAAACACACTTCCTGAACTGACTGCGACAAACAGAAGTTGTGCTGTTAGAAGAACCATCTGCATTCTTGTCGATGGGCTCTGCAAACACTAGATATTGTTTCCAGATTAGCTCAGAGGCTCAGGAAAAGTTGGCTCTATAAGATGTGGTACTACAGATGCACAAGGAATATAGAAAGGAAACTAGCAACAATCCATATAATTTCCTGACGATGACCTGAACTCATTCCAGCTTCTCACATTTTCGGGATAAGGCTACTCATGTAGCACTGTTTGGGAGGTGGTTCGACTGGAGCAAAGGCTTCTTTAGCAAGGGCTGGAGAAGATGATCTGACTCTTATGCCCAGACAGTCCAGAGCAGAAGACCAATCCCCACTGACAGTATTGTTGACAGGGCAGCTTTCCAGGAGATGGTGGTGCTACCTCTCCCTGAAAAGACAGTTGCTGTTGAGTCTTGATTCAGAGTAAGCAGCTTGTGCAAGGAACAGCATGCTTTGTTTTTGGGAAGTCCTGTTTTAGTAAGGAAAGCATTTATCTACCTAGGCAGCTGTTTGAAAGCTTCCTTAACAGAAGGCTCAATAAATAGGATGGCTCCACTTTGCTAAAAGGGCCATGTCTTGTATAATTGATGCAGAGGAGCTCAGTGCTCTATAGCCTAAGGGTCTTCAACCTTTCACCACTGGAGAATTAGAGAAATGTTTCTCAGGCCTTTCAGAGAATGCTGTTAACAGGGAATTACCATAATGATCAAACATTTGGATTCTAATTTGAAAGCCTTGATGTTTAATTAATATTCCAAGCCCCAATCACCAGATAATCTGTCTTTGTTCAACTCAGCACAGTGATAAAGATATTGTTCCATCTTGTGCTTTTTTCAACACATACTGTTGATGGGTGCTGCTGTTTGCAATTATGGTAGTTGTAGCAAATAGACAGTAAATTTGCTCAGATGAATCTGAGAGGTTCTTTCATTAGAAAAGATGTTTGATAAGTAGATTTTAAGGTCTGAAAGTTATAGACCTACTGAGAAAGCTATAAGAAATGCAAAACTCATGGGGAAAGATTTAACTATCATGTAAGATCCTTTACGGTGCAGTTCTTAGAACACAGAGAGATTGTAACACAATTATTTAATATTTTAAAAATACAATGTTTATTCCCTATGCTTACAATTTTTGTTTCTTCATGCTTAGATTGTTCTATAAAAGTCTTCCAAAAGTTTACTAAAAAAGTAAGCTCAGGTACTCTTAACAGATTGTAAGTGTATGGACTAGTAATCATGCTTACCATCTCTTCAGTAGATATCATTGTAAATAAAGTTACAGGGTTTAAATAAGTATAATTATTTTCACTTTACAGTGAACTGAAAGAGACACAGGCAGCTTAGGACACTCACCTGAGATCATATAATAACACAAGGGAATGCAGCATGCACACCAAGTGTTCAGCTGCAGTCAAATGGGCCCATCATTGAAGTGTGCCATTCATCTTCAGGATAATATAACAACTGTGTTACTTGTTCTCATTTTATGCTTATGTAACTCTTCTAAAGAATTAAGTACTACAGGACCTGACCAAAGGTTGCATTATTTGTGTGGAAAGTAATCAGTGACAAACGTCCTCAACACCCTTTGGCAGTGCACTGGGCTGCACGGCTTGAAAATGTGTGCCTGGGATGACCGACCTCATCCAGGTGGGATGAGAAATATGAGGTTGAACGAGTCTCTCACACTATCCTCCGCCTCATTTTGATAGCAAAAATATGAAAAAATGACAACTATTGCATCTTTGGAGTAGAGATCAACTTTTTTTCACCCATGGGCAGCAATTTTGAATAACAAATGTCTCCTCTGAAAGACCTCTGCATAGTACCTGCAGGCCCCCCTCGGGCACTTTCGTCCTGCATACTTCCAGTCACAATAACCACGGGGTTCAGTTCCATTTTGTCTGAAAGATTTTCTCTGCAGACTCACTAATAAGAAGAGAGCAGCAGCTGCTGAAATGTGAAAATCCAAGAGTGATGATCTGATAGCATGTTAATGTGATTTAGCAGTCGCTAGGAAGGGTGGGCAGTGGGAGGATGTGTGTGACAGTCACAGAAACTGACTGACAGTTTGGCACATGAGATCTACCCTAATGGACTGTTTTATTCTGTTGGAGAAAAATCAATTCAGGAGGCTAAAGGTGTTCCATCTACTATCAGTGACAGTGATTTTAATTACAGCGCTAAAATGCTTAGGTCATAAGCAGCTTTTGAGCTAATTCAGAAACGTGTTAAGATCAGTGAGAAAAGGAGCATTGTTTGAGTATGTGCAATGAACAGGTTGAGCTAAGAGTAGGAAGAAACATTCAGGATTGACAATATCTGGTAAATTGCAGACTAAAGAATGATAACTGACCTAATAATGGAACCTGTTTTATATCTCCCTGGAGTACACAATGGAGAGCTGGCCCACCTCTGCACATGACAATCCACATCATTTAAAGCACCTTTTCCATCTAGTAGGCTCAGAGCAGAGCAGCATGTCCCTTCCATTTCCTGTACTGAAAGTTCCAGCATTCAAGCCCCTGTACTTACAGCTAAACTGCAAAAGAGAAGTATAAAGCAGAGGTAGCAACCTTAGGAAACCATAAACTCACAAATTATTTTTAATCAAATCCTTTAGTGAAAAGTTTTGATAGCTAATTAAGTCTTTGCTACTTTTTCTATATGACATAATGCTGTAACATTAAGTGCCACTGGATTACATGGTTTGCACTGGTTTTATATACTCCTATATCTGTAATGAAATTTGTGGGGGGAGTTGAAAGGAGAAGGAATCAGTATCTAAATAAAACTGTAGGTTACTGCAATGTTTTATTGAGTTTGAAAATGACAGTTGGGAAAAATCACGGTTGTTTGGGAACTCTTGGACATGTCTTTAAACTTACTTGGAAATTCCAGAGGCAACAGGATAAGTCCTCTCATCTTCTGCAAAATTTTTATGCTTTGTGCTGGTGTCTTCTCCTTCTCTTTAAAATGGCTGATGTGCGAACATGTCTTTTAGAATGTTGCAGTTCCTTCCCATGTTGTCCTGGGTTTGGTTGTTTGTCACTGCTTCCTGGAATTTTTTTTTTACAAGAAAAAAGAAGGCAGACAAAACTAGAAATCAAAGTTTGGGGTAATATACACAGAGAGTCCGTAATATCCAGCAGCATTCTTCTTTTACAGAGTCCTCAAATAATTTAATTCTTAGTGAAGATGAACAGCTTTCCTCATTAATTCAGTAGTTTTCTAATTGTTAAAACTTCCATGTCATTATGTCTTTCTGTAAGGGTAAGTTATGGTAGCTTATTTTTAAACACAACCAATGAAAATAGCAATGTGATTCAGCAGATACTTGTTTTACTGGAGTTTAGTGCTGCAGCAGTCACTGCTGGTCCGAGATGTCCTAATTACACATGGCTTTTGTTCTTCCTCTCCACTCTTGTTAAGTCAGTACATGCTCAAGTGATGCAGTTGCTGTAGATAGAAAAGTGATTTATAAACCCTGTACTGTGCAGGTGATAGTAGTTGAATGCTCTATTTCCTCACAGAAAGGTGAGGAAAAGAAAGATGATGGACAGAAGAGAAAGGTCAAAAATGTAGAAAAGCTCCTCACCCCTTAGACCATGTCCTGAAAGTGTTGCTGCAGACACAGGCGGTAACAGAGCAGAGCTGGTGGCAAGCAGTGTTATAGCTGATAATGCAGACTCTCCAGAGCTTCTGCAGCAGCAGAGCACTCTCACTTTGGAGACCACAGAGCCCTACAGCACAGCGCTAGAATACCAGCATTTTTCAACTATTCTGAAGTTTGGCTGTTGCCTTACAAGTGCTGCCAGTTTTCCAAACAAAGCAATGCATAACAATTATTTTGCCAACAGCCCAGCCTAAACACAAGGGAAGAACCGCACCACTTCTATCATGTTTATGTGTCAAATGCCATTTTTCCTTCTCATAAAAGACTGTGATTTAAGGCTGGAGTTCAGAAATGGCACAGAAATACAGAAGAGAGGAATAAGATGGAGTCACCCCTAACAGATAAGTTAGGAGAAGCCATTTGTTTTAAAGATGAATTCACACAATTTTTTCTGAATTTGCTTGGATTCTTGTAAAGAAAACATTACCAAACAGTTGAATATATGTAAACAGGCCTGGCTTCTGGCACTTAGTTACTGAGTTAAAACAGAGAAAACAACAGTAATACATACCCTGAGTTCACTGCACTGAATAATACACTTCTGCCTGCCTTCATCTGAATGGATATGATAATCCCTAAGATGTTTAGTGCCTAACTGACTCAGGCCCCCCTCCCCTTCCTCCCCCCCAAAAAAATTAAAAAAATAGAGGAATTTTTCTGAGGGCCAAGATGGATGTTTTTTTAATCCTATGCACCATATTCATATATTTACTCTTACTGAATATTGGCAATGTTGTAAATGCCAGGTTACCTTGTTCACTTAATATACCCCATTTCCATTTCTGGCTGGCCATGACAACATGTGCCCATAGGGAAAGAGGAGCTTGCTCTTCCCAGCAGCCCAGTGCCTTGCCATTGCTCTCGCAGGGTCCTGGCCATTAGTAGTTGTCTGGAAGTAGACACTACCATGGTATTTATTACAATTCTTACTGTGCAGCAGTGGGGATCAAACATTATGCCAGCTCCATTTCTCTTACACTACTAGTATAACTTATCAGTGCATATTTCTTAGTGGGTTTAGCCCAACCTCTTCTTTGTAAGAACTGCACTGAAATCTGTAGAAAAAAGCGTACCTGTCCACGTTTTAGAAGATTTGAAATCCAAAACAAGCAGGTCTCTAAAGTTGGGGAAAAATGGCTTAACAATTTAGAAATTGCTCAAATTTTAAAGTTCTTGATTTTTTAAAAAAATATACTAGAAAGTATAACTGACAAAAGAAAGAAATTATTTAGCTATTCTGTGCTTCTGTGCATCAGTTCAGGTTTGGAGGTGTTCCTTTCCATCCTGTTTCACAGAACTTTTCTCTGAATTCAGGGGGAACTTTTCTCTGGATTCAGAAAAGTGAGGTGGTGCCAAATACTGATGTGGTAAAAATATGCTTACAGTTTGGGCTACCTTTGAGTTGTCATGTGCAATCACTTCTGGTCTGGATTTGGACTGGTCACTCAAAATCAGAGTTTCTGGGAGCTGCCAGTTGAACTCAATAAGTATCCCAATGCTTGATTTCCTTTCTTAATACAGTGTGCACATCCAAGTTAGAAATTTTATGCAATATCATGCAGCTGCTTTGTGCAAGTGTTGTTCAAACTGCAATTGCTTTCATTTTTTAAATTGATAGTGTTTGGTATATTCTATAGGAGTATACAGATTTTAAAATCTAAATTTATGAAATACAGGTTATAATAGCAAGAGAAATAGGCCCTCCATGAAGATGGTACATTTTTTTTTTGTTGGACTCTTCACCTGCCATCACAAGTTTTCAATTCTCTGGGTTTTTTTCATCTTCTAGTTACTCCTTGTACTATCTCTCTGTGCTGTTCTGTTCTGTTCTGTCTCCTTTTACTCTGGGCCATTTCATTTTTTTGTTCTCCAAATCTCTGCAATACAGCAAGGAGTAGAGCCTTCCACAAGCATTATTTTTTTGGGTTGCTGCTGTCCCCTGAAATGCAATTTCCCCCATTGGGCATAGTGGTAGCAGTACTGGATAGCACGTGTAACCCCTATAACTTGTTCCAGCTGAAGCTCTGTACCAGCTGATGCTTTGCTTTGGACTTTTCCAGGCTGACAGGCCCATTTACTTCAGGGCTTCCCTTCAATTCTGATGAATGTGCATCCTGACCAAGGTGCTCCCCTCCATGCCCTCTCTCTCTTGCAGAACCGATGAGCTCTACACTTCCTAGTCCTGTAGTGGTAAACACTCCTGCAGGGGGACATGCCTGCAGCATGGGGTCCTCCTGCTTCCATCCTTCAGGTTACCGTGTGTCTGATGATGCTCCTTGCTCTGTATTATGGCCAAAAAAAGAAGTACATCAAACCAGAAAGAGGACAGCTATGGTTCAGTTGCAGTAGTGCAAGCAGAAGCAGAATCTGAGCCGTATTAAACACAGCAGTGGGCATGCCCTCATGTTCACAGTGTTCCCATGTGCAGCTCTATCTGTCACTACTCTGAAATCAAAAAACTGTGGCATATCCTTCTTATCTAATTCACCTATTTTGTTCCCTCTTTGTAGAAGAACTTGTGAAAAATGTTGATGAACAGGAAAAAGACCAAAGCAGAAATTCCACAGATGCACAGTTACAGGAAGAGACAACAAGGATACAAAATGAGAGTAGTCAGGGAAGTGATGGTACAACCTGTCCTCCCCGATCCATCGTCCTACAAGTAGTCTCTTTCGACACTTCTCTGAGTGATGAATCCAACTCAGAAAAATGCACTAACTCTGATCCGAACCAGAAAGATCTCACCGATGCCCAGCAAGAAACACAGAATACAGACCCACTGAATGGTAATGCTTCATCACACAGCACCAGCCAGTCTAATGAAGCTGCCCAGGGCGAAGCTGCAGCAATGTCTGGTATCTCCCTGTCAAACATCAACAGTAATGTAAAATATTGAAATAAGGTGTTTTACAAACCACCAGCATAAGACAGTTTCTTTGGGCATGTGTAAAAGTATGAGCGTCCTAAAACCATCAAGAAGCTGTTTGATATAAACAAATATCAACTTCTTGATATCAGCTGTTTAGTATCCACTGGAAAAGTTTTTACATAATATACTTTAGTTGAACCGGAAGAATGATTTTGGAGTAATTTAAAGATGCATATTTGCAATTAAATAGCCCTTTGCTACTCGAGAATAAGGTAAACTTTCAAAATAGAGCTATCCAAACATTCTCTCTTTGAATAGGTAATTATGTTATTAAAATATACTCTCCTTAGTTTAGGCACCTAATATGATTGCTATGTTGTAAACCACATCCTTTGTACTAAATGTGAATCTTAGAGTTAAGGTAGATGGAATTTGCTAACTGTAGTAGTCATGGGACTGTGTCATTCTCTTAATCAGGAGGATCAGTCTCCTGACTGTAGCTGCAGGACAAGCGGAGCAGCCAGAAAATCCCTAAAATGTCAGAATATGTTTTTAGTGTGTAAGTATATTATTGTAAGATGACTATGTTTAGTATCTGGTAATTGCAATACAGTATCAAGAAAAAGATGCCCAAGCAATAGGAATAGATGTTTTTAAAGGAAGAGAAAGACACTGTGCATTTTCATTTTATTTTCTGAGTTTGCTTATAGTTAGAATAAGCTTTGAGATATCAGGTTTATAAGACAAGACATATAATGACACTTCTATTCCTGACTTTTCATTAAAATGCTAATCTCATTAATGCTTTTATGACAGTAAGCCTTGCAATATTGTGCCAGAAGTATGGCATTGTCTGAGCAGCAACACTGAAGTGCTTGTAAGGCTTAGCTTAGACATGAGTATATGACTTGGTATGTTTCTCATAAACGCTTTTTATGGAGAACACCCACTTATTCTAGAGTTCCGTATTCCAGGGCTCCATGCTTTTATTGTTGGCAGTTCTTTTCCATCAGAAATAACAGATGGTTAATTTAGGGTCCTATATCAAAATATTTACACTAAAATTATTTTCACAGCATTTGAAGCTGTCTAATAACTGACATTTTTATCTTCTGACAAGTATTTTTTACACTAGTTTTTGTATTAATGCCCAAATTGAAATTAAAGTGCCTTAGGAAAGTTCTTCATCTCCTGGATGAGGAACACAGTCGGGAAAACTGCAGACTGTGCAGAAGGCAGTGGTGGTATAGCTGTCCTTGTGGGTCTTTAGATGGCTGACCAACAAAAATGCTATTTGAGAGATCAGATACAACTCAGCATGCAATTAGTTCACTCTGTTACCTTGTCAATCTTTACATTCCACCTCTCCAATGAAAGCAGAGATTTCTTATCTTAGAACATGCTAATTTCATTTGTTTCTTAATGCAGGGATTTTTCTAGAGAATGCCTTGTATTTTAAAACTTCAAACTGCAAAATTTATGAAAAGGATAAGAACCAATTAAATTTTTAATAGTATATTTCCAAAGGTAACTATAATTTGGAATCTATTTTTTTTTCTTGAAGATAGTGAAAAAGATTTATTAACATAAATTACACCAGTCCAAGGATGTTCATTCACAAGAGATGGCAATATTCAAAAAGAGTTCAGATTAATAATGAAACAGAAATAAGAGTTTAATTTAACTATTTTGTGAAGGAAAATAGTATTGGTAAGGTCCTGAACTAAAAGCCAGGGCACATACACAGAGGACATTGCTCAGCAGTAAACAGGGACGTATAGCAGGAGACATAACTGCATCAGGATTAATCACATCGTAAGAGAAGCATTCTTTGTTATTCTTTAGGCAACTGTAGAGGCTCCCTTACTGGGATCCCCCAACTTACATCTGCACATCTTGTAGGTTTGGCAGCACACATTGCTGTTGATTGCCACAGAAAGTTTTAGTATAGAAATGCAGGTTTCTTCACTGAAACTAATCATCTATGTCAAGTCCTTTACAAGCTGTGCTTGTAAAGCTTTCCTGCTTTTGAAAATGTGTAAAAAGTAGAGGCTACTGCTCATGCCATTGATTGAACACACGTCCAGCAGTTGTAAAATCCTTTTCTGAAGAGGTCTTCAAATTAGTTTGAAAACTGTTCATCTGATACAGTTTGTGAGCAGATGTAATCATTCATTCTTGGTGTTATCATGAGAGATTATATTGGCAAAATGCTGTTGTCATGGTAAATTCAGAGAATTTATGCATTCCAAACTATTTGGATCGTGCGTTCTAGAACAGAGACTTTTCCCCTATTTAGACCTGTGAATCATTAAAATGTTTCCAGTAGAAATGTGCATCCCTGGTTAGACAGCCTAAGCCTACAGAAAGCAAGTTTGCATTTCTTTTAGTCTCATGAACCTGTCAGGTATCCCCTCATATGTAATTCATAGTCCCTCAAGTCAGAAAACCACTAGATGAAACTGGATTTCTGACTTACATTATCACAAATTTTTAGTAGAATTACATAGAATTACGTAGAATCAGGGTATTGATTAGGTGTTGTTTTTAAAGGCACCTGATATTTGAAGGCATTTTTAGTTGTCATTTTATGCAAAACATCTGGTCACTGTGACATGCTGAATTTGCTCTCATCTGTCTCCTTCAATGATTATTTGTGTTCCTTTTCCAGCATAGATAAATATATAGGTAAATGGAGAGCCTGATGAATGTTTTGCCTTGTTTCTGTAGCATATTAATGTCAGAATTCACTACTCTCTGACCTTTTCGATATTCCACCATGAAGTACATAATATTTAATATAAAATTTACCTATTTGAAGATAGTTCATGCTACATGGGATTTCTGTTTTATCAGAGTGATGCAAAATATACTGAAAGAACACTACAAATATAGGTTACACAGCAAAACAGAGCAGCTGTAATGCATCACAATGCTGATGTGAGTTGCATTACTGACACAGGCCTGAAGCAGCCAGACTTTCTACAGACTCATGGTGAGACCCAGGTCCTGGCTCTTTGAGAAAGTATTAAATTAATATTGGATTTCAGCAGCTGCAGAAACTGTGCCATCATATAAGAGACAACAGAAAAGAAAGTCTATGCAGGCATTTAGTACTGGAATAGTTGACAATATTCCATACCAAAGGGAAAAGTCAGGCTAAAACGTTTAAATTTCTCTTTCACAGTGGTAAAATGCTTTAATATCATTCTAAGTGGAGGGAAGCCATTAAGTAGTCAGTGTGGTTGTCTAAATGTAGGTACTTAGTATTATTGAAGAGGTTTTGTTACTGCAGTGTATGCAGAAGCCTCATAGCCTCAAACAGCAGAGCAACCTCTGTTTTCTCACTCGCCTCTCCTTTTTTCAGTATAAGCTATGTTTGGGATGGTCAAGGGTGAGTGTTTTGTGCATGATGCAGTAGCACTCAGGGCAGAAGGGACATATAGCATTGGTAGCATCCCCACTTTTCACTCTTGCTGGTGGCCAGTGGATCTAGACAGGACTCTTTTAACCAAGGTCAGACATTTTCAATGGAATGTCACTTCAAACAAGCAGAAGGCAGCATACATATGACCTTACATTTTTAATCTGTTTCATGAATTAGAGTTATTTGAGTATTCTAAGAGACACTGTACATCTATCAGGACATTATTGACACTCTCCATGCTAGACTCTTCTACCTCAGTACTTTCTGTACTGAGGATGGGGGGGTACAAGGCTAAAGTGATGTCCAGAGCACTTGCTGACTCCTGGGGTGGGGAAGTGAGCACCTGTGGGTACTGGGACTGGGAGAATGAGATAGGAAGGAAGAGAAAAAGAAACATGGTTATTCACGTCAAAATGTCATATTTTAGCTGTCATTGCTCTGTCTTTTATAAAACACAGAAAATTCAGTTACGTTTTTTGTGAGTAAGTGATTCAATTATAACAGAGATGGGGAACATGGGAAAATGATGTGTCTGCATTCTTGGGCACTGTCAATGAATGTTTGGATATGTATAATTAGGGCATTCCCCATTAAAAAGATTAAAAAGGGACTGTTTTACTCACCTCGTATCACATCTCTTTTAAGGTGTAGTCTTGTAGATTAGTAGTAATTAGTAACAGGAATAGCTCTGCCCTGGGTCCTGGTCAGTGCAAAGGGAGAACTGGAGGGTCACTGTAAGAAGCACTGCAGTTGTGACTGAATGTTGTTTTCTCCACAATACCTTTGTCCTTTCCATCATCCCATTTTCATTTAATTGAATGGTACAAGATTAAGTGAAACTATTATAAGGTGGGGTTTAAGAGATAATTTTCTTTTTCTCTTGAGTGATTTATTAATTAGAACATTAATTTTAAAAACTGCTTATGTTTAATTAAATGACTCCACATTTCAATGATTTATAAATGCTAATTGGCACACTTTTAACTTCTCACTTGTAGTGATAGCCACACTAATACTTAATATCAAAATGCAAGGGAGATAATAAATCTGTGAGAAAACAGATTACCAGTAATATTGCTCTATATGACAGCAGAGGACTGCCCAGTCACATCAGGTGTGTGAAACTTTCATCAGCAGGCAGTAACTGAGAGCCTCTGGAGAGTAACCAGGTTAAATAGCAGTGGACAGATCCACACCAACAACATGCCAGTTTGATTTATGGGAATGCAGGTGGCATCAGCTCATCATCCGTGCCACGCAAATGCTTACTGACCGTTCAGTGCCGCGGTGGCTCCGTGGGGCTCAGCTGAGGGTGGAACCCTTTGCAGCTGTGCAGAGTGGGCACAGATTGCTGTGCTGCCTTGTAAGTGAGCATTCCTTGGGCACAGTGCATGGCTCAACAGGACAACAGGATCCTGGTACTGAGGGAAGGCATCTGTGTTCATGCATGGGATAAGGATGGAGGGAAGGTTAGATTAAAAAAGCGAATGTGTTTATAAAAAGGATGGGGTTTATAAGATAACAGCCATAAGCAACCATTTAAAGGGCAGATTTTATCACACAAAAAACCTGATGAACTAAGAGGAAGAAAGCTATATATCTTAAAAGGTAATGTTAAGTTTTATGAAATTTAAATGTACAAAGATTTTGTTTTAAGGCCTCCTCAAACCACTTCTATCCCACTCTGAAAACTACTCTACATTAAGTATAAAATTTAAATATTTAGATCAATAGATTTTACTTTCATACTTCTTCCCCCCTTTTTTGTTTTTATGGATAATGATAATAAAGTTTTAGTAAATCCCTTCAAAAACAGCCACAGGCTGAAAGATCTGGTTCTAATTCATGTTAGTCTAATTTTGAGACTTTTAAAAGTCTTTGGAATATTGGTAGTCTGTGTTTCACCTACACTAAATTTATGTAAAATAAGGGGGATGGTGTAGGATGTTGCTTGGGGGGATATGGCCCATATGCTGGTGGCTGCATTACAGTGTGGACAGCACCAACTCTGCCACCATTCAAGGCAATGAAACAAGGGTAAAATCAGTAGCAATTCTTACTTGTTTACAGTGAAGCCATGGTAGATACATAGGTATTAATTTTCTTCTTTCCTCATTCTTGTTCTCTTGAGTTTCCTCTCTTCTCATTCTCTTTTCTAAACTCTCAGCCTCTTCTTCAACTGCAACTTGCCATCAGCTTTCAATTTCCCTTTCAGATCACGCATCACCTACTTTCTCTTTGGCTACTTATACCTTTGTTTTCTGGCTTTCAAAAATATTCCCCTCTCTATTTTTATTTTTATAAATTTTATGCTTCTCCCAGTTCATCTTTTCAAGTTTTGAGACTTCTATGCTCTTCCTTTTTCACATTTTAAGTTCAATGTTCCTACTCTCTTGTGGGATCACTTGGATTAACTGGATAAAATTGAGAAATTACTATATGTAGTTAGTAAATAACACTGTAAGTTTGCTACACTGTCACCATGCCTACCATCTCAGTGTGTAATTTCCTCAGCTGTGTTCATTCAAAGTTACTGAAGGAATAGTTTAAGCAACAGCTTAATATTATGATTGTTGGTTCGAAATTCATGTTGTATCACTTAGTTTGAAAGCTGCTTGTGTTGCTCTGTGTCATTCCTCCAATTTGATTGAATGAATTGAATTCTTAGAACTTGACACTGCATATTTCATTATCTCAGCTTACTCTGATTTGAAAGTCTACATTAAAAGAGGATTTAAACAGCATTTCTCTACAGAGGGTGAATTTTGACTTTCAGTAAGGCAGAAGAAAAAAATAAACCAAAACCAAACCCACTTTATTAACACTTATGTTTTTTTCATTATGTGATCTATTGATTTCGTTCTGTCTTTTGCCTTGTAGATAAACCATGATTAGTTGATTCAATCTGATGCTTACTGTGGTGAGAAAACAATTAAAGAAAGCAGTGATTGAAACCTCATTTTAACCTTAAAAAAGTCTTAAAGAACAAGATTCTGTCTGTCTACAGCTGTGCAGATTCTTTTGGTTAACTTCCTCACTCAGGTTTCCAGTCACATTTGTTTATCTTCCAGGTGAGCCTAAACACTGTAAGAAGCCAGAAGACATGGTAAAAGCCACGGAGCAGAAAGAAGCACTGATACAAAACTAGATTTTCTATTTCTTAAAAGCTTCTGACATTTCAGGCAGGACAGGTAATTTGGTCATTTCTTTCTTATAGTGGGGGGAGTTTTACACCATAAAGGCTTGTTTAGTGCTATTATTAACCTCTTTGTTCCAACTCAGTTGTGGTTTTATTAGAAAATTTTGAAATGGGGACACAATATACCCCACTTTCTATGAGGTATAAAACCATTCAATATAAAAAAGGGAAAAACTGTACTTTTACATCTCTCAATCCTTAATGTCAGACAGAATGATCATGCAATAAACCATCCTATGAAATACTGAAATTGTAGTATCAAAAATTTATTGTTTATGAATTTTCATTTAACCTCTCTTGCAGGAGAAAAGAAGCACTCTAGCTGTTCCTACCTCGTGCTCTCAGAGGCCATTATCTGTCAACTTGTTCTTGGATCATCCTGTTTCTGTGGAAAGTGAACGGACAAAATGTTCAAAAGTGTAAAATGTAAAACTGAACTGGTAAATCAAGGCACTTAACAACTTGCAAGATTTCGGTTGTATTTGTTGTTGCTATTTCCTCTTCTATTCTGCTTTCTTAAATTAGCCAAAATAATTTTTTCAGCCAAAGTTGGACCTTGCTTTGTTGCATCACTGGCATCAAACATTTCCAGTTAACCATGAGATATGTGAAAACACGACATTTATCATCTGCCTGGGATTGCTGTTACATGTCACTGCTGCTGGCATCCAGTGAAAATGGAAAGTCAAAATGAAATGTGTTTCTAAATACTTGTTCATGCAATCATACTGCATGCAACATAAAAGTCTTACTTGTTAGTTTCCTTAAAATATCTGGAAATAAATGTATGTAGACTGTACAGAGAAGTTGCAGAGTTACACTGACCAGCCTGCATAGATGATGATTTTTCTCCACTGTGGTGGCTGCCATATGGACAGAACTGGCGTTGAACTGAGAAGTATTTGAAATATCTGAGTATTTTGGAAGACATCAGCAATGTTGTCAGCCCTACCATGAAGCTGGTGCTTATTGTTTTATAGGGTAGAAGAGACAGCAACAGGAATACATGAAAATTACTTCACTTCAGCAAAATAATGTGTTGCCTCTCAGACAGAATTGGAAGGTGACACTGAAGCCTTATATTATGATTTATCTCACATGCAAAGTCAACAACATGCATCCTGCAAAATCTTTGCCAGTGTTTGTTTCTTTCTGAGGGGTGGCAAAAACAGAGCACATGGGCAGTCACCTTTGCAAGAAGCCTCAGAAGGAGCCCAGAAAGAAACTCCATTTTCATCTCCACTTCCCTCAAGCTGCACATGACTCCTCCAGACTTGTCTGGGTGTCCTGTGTAGCTGCAGCCAACCTCATTTCCCTCTGCTGGAACCTGCCAGGAAACTTCCAGGCTCCCCTTCAAGTTGTAGGCTCTTGGGTGGCTCAGGTTGCTGCTCTCCCAGCTCTCATTTTTGGACCCTGTGGTTATTATCTCACTGACCAAAAAGTCTTTATAATCAGCCATGGTCTGCTCTGAAGAGGACTCATGGGGCAGTGGCACTCCTCTCTGTGCAGAGGGTGATTGAGATCTACGTGTCATTCATCTGCTGTTTCAGGGGTCTGAGTAGAGCTCAACAGGCATCAGGCTCAACTTCAAAAAGGGCATGCTTTGTCCCAATTGAAGAAGGAGTTGTAAAACAATCACCCTGGACTGAGGGACCCTTACATGTTCATACCTGTTGACTGTCTCTTTTCTGACAGCGGAGCAATCAAAACTGAGCTGGGAACAGTGTAAACTCTGAGCCGTGGGATAAGAGCATGCCAAAAGGTGGGATTCCTGTCATTGAATATGTAAGCCATATGCGTGCTATGCATAAGTAGTATGCATAGTCTTAACTTAAGAAATGTTTGTGCATATAGGATGTAAAAAATGCATTTAAATTGTTTTGTGTATCTGGTCCAGGGCTTGTATTTAGCATGGACAAATTTCTGTACAGTGAAGTTAATGAATGAAATGTTAACAAATGAAATTGTATCATATATGTTATAATGCAATCAATATTTTTTGCTAAGAGTTAAGAATTTATATATTCTCTGCTAGTGTTTGAGCAAATTATTAGTAGCCTGGACCACTCTGTGCACCTTTGCATCCTTTTTCGGAATGTTGGACTCTTTTTTTTTCCTTTGTAATAAAATGTAAACCATCTTATGGCTTCTTATTGTCCTTATGACAAGAGAAGGAACATAATGGTCATATCAGACGTTTCTAATTGTAAGTTGCCATATGCCGTGGCAGTGGAAAATCTTTTTCATTAAGATTGGAGAACTTGGGACCTTATTTCAGATAAGTTGAGCATCTACAGTTCCCATCAAATTTGAAAAGAACAAGATACAACTGCTATCTTTAAAAACTAGGCCAGTTAGGTATTTGTTTCTTACCGACTGTTTTTCAACATTGTAATTTATGATTCACTGAGACTGAAAGTCTGGAACAATCTTTATATTGTATTTTCAATTCCAGACTTTTACCACAGTTGAACTTGACTTTTTTTCCTGTGTCTCTATCCCATTGTGATTTATTACTCTGCAAAAATTTTCACCTAGAAATACAAGCAGAAAATATAACAGATTCTGCAGAGAACTTGAAACATCCTGTGGGGGTCTCAGTGTCCTGTTGTCATAGCTGGCCCCAAGATCTCCCACTGCAGAAGCTAGAAGGAGCTCCTAATCTCACAGGAGCCAGACATTGCCTGCAGAATTCATTCATTAATTTGGAAGTGTGATTTTTGTATAAATAATCCTATTTGCTCATTTGTATTCAGTTTTAATCACTGTGGTAGATGTTACTGAAATACGAAAAGAGTGCTTAGTTTTTCGTTAATGCCAGCTGATTCTCTTTCTTTCTTCCTTCTTTCCTTTATTCTTAGCAAGTTTTTACCTGGCCATGACCCAAAGCTTGGTGTGTTGTTTGGATGAGGAGAAATTTTCTTTGGTGGAGAAGGCTGATACAGCTAACATGTGTTACTTAAGGTTTTGACATGGGGTAAAATTTGTGTTTGGATGGCAGAAAGGTTTCTTGAGAGAGCCTCTCCCTGAGCGGTAGTTTATCTCTGAAACCTGTAAGGCTGCTTTACCAAAACACTGCATGGGGCCATAAGAAATGGTGTTTGTTTATGCGTCTCTCCCACAGCATTATGGGCATGTACCCTGCATTGAGCACACTGAGGAGCTGTAGCTATAGATGAGTCCTCAAGAGTTTCATTTTGCATTTTTATCTTGAGATATCTGAGAGATATATTATGTAATATTGTTATAGGTTATGATCTAGTCAGTATTTTTTTAATTTAATTTTCAACACGGCAATCTACAACTGTGTGTTTTATTCTGCTATATATGTCCATATTTCCTATGATGATCTTCCCAAATAAATTTGATTTGAGGGCAAGGATTGTGAAGCTCCTGAGTGTTAGTTACAAATCTGCTTTCCTGAAGCATGTTTGCTCATTTGTGTAAGATTGTCTTTGAGGAGTGACAGAGCACATATGGTTGTTTCCAACCCTTTCACCCACTCGGGACTCCACACTTTTTCTGTAACTGTATCAGTTTGCCATACAAAATCACTTACATCCTCATAGCACACTTGAAAACAGTACCTTTAAGCAAGTCTTGAATTCTTATCCCTTATGGCTAAAACAGCCCTCACATGAAGAAAAACAACCAATAGTACATTTTTTTACACAAAAAAAAATCTTACTGTGGGTTGAAATTGAAGGAACCACTGAGACTGTTCTTGTTAGCAACAGGTCGTCTGGAAGAGTACAACTTTCAGTGGCACCTCCATGACCTGGTGTAAATTTTATAATCCAAGTTCAGTGTTGTGAGTATAAAATGCCCTTTTTTTTCTGGAAGATTTTGTTACTAGGAGATAGAGTTTTTGCTTAGGAAGGCTTTCTACCTGAAAGGCAGCTCTCTCTCAAAGGCAGTTTCAATGCCTTCTCCCCACCCTTCATACCAAGAGAAGTTCTCAGCCTCTCTCTCTGATATGTGAGAGGAGAGAGATAACATTTACAGAAATGCTACAGGGCTGCTGTGGCCAGGGGAGAGTCGGGGGGGCCAACAATGATAAAGCCTGTGAGCGAATGGGAGGTTTGCCTTTTCCTCTGAGGCCTGGTGCTGTCTTGCAGTGCCAAGAAGTTTGTAAGTTTTAATGTCTTTGCCTCCGAAATAAACCCTTTGAATCCCTTCCACTGCTTTGGCATTTCTGGGGAAGATACCTGCATATATTTTACCTTACAAGTGTAACTGGGATTAAACAGGGTCCCTTCCTACTCTGACTGGAAATAAATGGAAAGAATCCCATCGATTCAAACATGTATCAAATCCTGACTAGGTACATGATGGGAATAAATCAAGACAACTACTTTATACCTCGTTCTTTGCAGTTCCTTTTTTCCAGCACATGCACAAAGGACTTTCTTCTATTGCAGAGATGCCAGAAGTGACCCAAATGCTTTGAAATTAACAAATCAAGATCACTAGTAGTAAGTGTCTAAAATAGATATCTTTAACAGACTATAGAGTTATTATATGAGAAAGACGAAAATGTAAGTATGCCTGACATTCTTCAACAGCAGCCTAAAGAGATTTGTGTTTACAGTAGTTTAGCAAACACAGGTTTGTCTGAGAGGGGAGTGCATCCCTGTTAAATCATGTTTTGAAAAATCACATCCTTGAAAAATGGTATGGAAAAATTAGTGGAAATGGCATTTAATACTATGACTAAAAGAGAGTGTCCTCTGTCAAACACTATGCAAATATTTAGGCTGTTTCCCTGGAATAATTTTCCTTTCCTGGTCATTTAAGTATTTAATGGGTCTCCAGAGACTCCTTTTCCATGTCCCAGGGCAAACATTCAGAAGTTTTATCAAACTGTGAATGTCTAAGTATTCCCTGGAGAATAAAGAAGCAAGTCATAACTATGGAGTTATAAATGGGAAAAATCTCCTATTAAAAATGGGATTTTAACTGTTTTGGGCTTAACTTTGCTGCAAAATACTTCCTTTGTACTTGGGCAAGTCTTTTGCTTACAGCCTTTGTGGGGAGAATTGTTACAGAACTTTACATTAGATGAGCTTAGATAGATAATATCTTAACCAAATAAGATTTTCTGACACATTACATAGTATATGAACTTTAAAGCAGATGAGTTTTATGCATTTGCAACGTCCTGTATAGGTCATTATTACAAACCTGAAGTAATATAAAATTATACCTAAATAAGATGGTCTAAATCAAAATGGTAGATACAATCTTGACTTTAAGATGGACCAGTTAAGCAGAATAGATGTTGTTTCATTTTTACTTGGGCTGTAATTATAAAGCTGTCTCATCACCATAGAGGACCTACAATCAACACTCCTGAACCTGCAAGAAGGACTTTGGAATTTGTATAATAATACCATGAACAAACATCAAGTAATACGAAAGTATTTGCTATTATTTATATAAAGCCTGATGTGATTATCTCAATCCAAATTCAGTGAGCCAAAGGGTCGAATTCACCTATGGTGCATTTCCATGAAATCCAGGAGAGATAGTGTCATTATAACAGAAATTATTTGGTCGTTGAATAGTATTTGGTCGTCTCTTGCTTTCTCTGTATTCAACTGGTTTACTGATTGTTTTCTGCAGTGGAGGGTACTCTGGGGGTCTAATATCTCTGCACAAAACACTACTCAACTTTAGGCCATCTTAAATTCATTCATTGAAATTATTCTTCCTGTTTTTTTGAAGCTGCTCAGCTTTGAGAGAGAACTGTATTTTTCTTACCAGTCAGAAATGAACACTCACCTGTATCGCTTGGGGTACTTTAGTAGTTCACAACCAAAATTAATGGCAGCATATTTGTGTCAAGTATTTAATATGATGCACAGTGCCTCTTTATTTTAGCATTCCCATCTGGGAAAGACCCCTATTTTGCTAAGCACAAGGTGGTTTGGGGTAGACAGAATTGTGACTGCAGCCAGAATAGTTCTGAAGGACATGTGTGTTTTCAAGTAAATAGTAGGTACAGGAGCATGGCTACAGAGTTGATATTTCCAGTAAAATTAGAGAATAAAAATGTCATGTGCAATTTAAATATTATTTATAATTGACCTTCATGTCTGTTTTTAATATTCAATCTGCTGAGTGTTTAAAAAAGCAATTAAAAGTCCCATATAATGTTAAAACCCTTGATAAATGTAATAAACAAATGACATATTCAAAAGAGAGAATCTATGTCCCATTAGGAGAGAAAAAGAAAGATGAGAGCAACATATGGCAGTATAATTAGCATGATTAGGGAAGCACATCAACAGAATTTATGCTGCAGGGAAAATGTAATAAGAAACCAACACACTTTCCTCACTGCCTTGAAAACTGCAAATATCACTCTCTGAAAAGGAGAAGATGCAGAAAGGCTCCCTGGCATTTAAAGCTGTAACTTGTGTTCTTCTGTCATTATTAAAGATGCACACAGCCATCTGCAAACCATTTATTTTTTGCAGGGTTCACATTGTCCCATTGCTTTGATTAATAAGGAGCAATATTACACCTCAGCTGCTTTTCAGAAAGATGCTATTTTGGAAACCTAATTAATACCCGTTCCACAGTTAGCTTGAGGTGTTCGTTAGTGCCAGATACTGAGTTCTTATTTGTTTCTCATTATGTGGAGAGTATTGCTTCTCAATGACAACGTTTTTGTTTTGCATTTTGGAATAACCTTTCGACACTCCTGCTTACCACAGCCTTCCCTTCAGAAGAGCTAATAACACCTGTCATCATTATTTTCACATGCCTGTTAATGTCTGTTGAAGACATTGTGGGCTATTTACATAGATAGACTATCCTGATGCACAGCAAATATTCCTGCCATTTTCTGAACAGTTGGGCCAAAGAGAGAAGCAAAATTAAGGAACTTGGCAATGCAATTAAAACCTCAGCTTACCACTAAGGGTCAGTATATACTAGGCAAATGAGTTATTACAAGATTGAAAGAGTATGTTTGTCTTGACAGTATTACAAAATCATTTTTCTGCCCTAAAAACCCAAGATTGTTTAAGAAATAAAACAAAACAAAAAATCTGTAGCAGAATATAGGCACTGAACTTGTATAAACTCCATCAGCCCACCCTGATGTAACTGGAGATTAGCAGCATCTTACCAAGTGGCCTGAGGTTTAGTAGAGGGTGCAAAATGTCTAGCTGGAGATTTGCTCAAAGTGCTGCTATCCTCACTGGAGGACAAAGGGGAGAATATACCAAAGCATTTAGCATCCACTTTGTTACCAAGTATAATGCTGTGCATGAAAAGGTTAGATGTAATTGCATGTCAGGAACCAATAGAACAACTGAGGCTCTTTCTGGAGCTCACCATTGCACTGAGCTGAAGAGAAAACAAAGAAAGAAAAGAAAGAACATCTATGGGCCTAAGCAGCAACATGGATGCAATAGGACTGGGAGAAAGAGGGTCTTAAGGGACAGCATGTCCCTGGACAGCGTGCCCCAGGGTTAGAGGAGAGACAATGCCTTATGTACTACAGGAATAAGGTCCCTCATAAACCAAATATGTCTCAAGAGAAAAAATATGAGGAGGGGAACCCTGCACTGAGCTAGGGACATTTTGTTGTACAGTGCTAGCTGCTAGGCTTAAACAAAAGCAGACCTGCAGAAACCCTGTTAAGGTCCCTCCCGAGCTACCCACAGCACTGCAGCCTACCCAGCTCATCTCTGGAGAGAGCTGTGACAGCCACCCAATACTTTGCCTTCTGGAATAAAAGAAATGCTTTTTTTTTTTTTTAAGAGCAAAAGCCACCACTCGCCTGGTCCCCGGTGTCATATTCTGTTAGAGGAAGTGCAGATGAACTGGAAGTCCCTTCCTTACTGATGGCCTGGATCCTGGGCACTGTGGGAGCCCCTGGCCCAAGCACAGGCAACAGAACCTCTGCTTGCAACACCACCTTGGAGTAAGAACAGTAGTGTTGGCTGTAACAGTTTTGGTTAAATAACACCAACAGTACAAGAACTAATGGTGATTTTTCAGTTTACATTACTGAGGAGAACTGATGACATTATGAGAATAAACTGGGTAAGTCCTTGAAGACATTAGCAGAATTCATAGCAATATTAAAAAAAAAAATAAGGAAAGAAATTCAATAATTAAACTGATAGCAGGATTATAAAAACTTTCCTGTGTACTAAACATTATATTTCCCCAAAGGAAAGTATGTTGTTGGCCAAAACCTGGGGTCTTTCTCAAGCAAAATTCCTTTGAGTTCGGTGGAAATTATGCTTCAGAAAGGATTTTTAAATCTTGAATCTTAATATCTATTTAAGTATTATCTGGTTTTGCACGTGGAGGATAAACAAGATATACCATCTTCAAAGTCAAATCATGTAATTTTTCCAGATAACTTATTAGCACAATCTCTCAGTAAATCTCTCTGGAGTGAAGAACCTGTCATAGAATAATGAGTGTAGCATAAGAAATAAGGCTGTAAAACACAATAATGAAACACCTCTAAACCACTCTGCATTAGTGAGTTAAGGGATACCAGGAACAGACTGAGATCAGTCTGAGGCAACAGCTTTCTTTCAATTCTGCAAATAACATTTCCTGCAATAACTTGAAAACCAGAACAACAGCAAACATACCACAGGAGGGAAAAGTGGCAAATATAAGAACATGGACGGGGGAAGGGGAAAAGATACAAATTGGAGTTGCTCTTTAAGAAAGAACTGTGTTCATTACTTGCTGGAAAGCCTTTTTCTGCTCTCTTTTTCCATCAGCCTGTTTGTGGGAAACAAACTAATACAACTCAGTAAAAATCTTGCTTCCACCAAACCTGTAGAACTCCCCAGAAGAAGCAGGTGTTGTGAGAGGAGACAGCTCAGATAGGGAACATATCATCACAGTTTTTCTTTAGGATGTTTTCATATTGGCATTTTCTTTGAGACACGTGGTGTTTACTAACTTTTTGTGTCGTTTCTCAATCCCCTGTTGATTTGTTTACACTACAAAAAAAAGGACATTAATGGATTTTTGTGTTTGTTTTTGTCTGTGCTTGGCGATATAAACACATTGGACAACGATTGACCATGGACTCCCACAAAGAAATCTACATGGTGGAGTGCACCTATGAGGAGTTCACCATGCTGTGAGACAAACAGAGCTCTCAGTTACATGCCAAAGCATACGGGAGGCTCTCTACCTAAGGCTGTTGTTCTTAAATGTCAGCAGCTGCACCAAAACCCGGCAAAGACCTGGTTTAGTAAACAGACTGCTTTTCCTGACCTTCCTCTCTGATATCCACACACCCAAACATTTCTGCCACAAGGCTCACTGTCAATACACTGCAGTATTTCAGCTCTGCTTCATGACAAGCACTTTTTTTCTGGGCTCTGTTATTTTATAG